GTGGGCTCTGTTACCTTTAATAATTGTGCAGAAGAAGGAAATTTCAGCAGGTGCTGCTTCTTACTTGGTTGCATGACAAGTAACACCTGCTGAAATTTCCTCCTCTACGCAAACATTGAAGAGGCAGGAAACTTATTTTTAATCTAGTGATCCTGATTCCCACTTGATACTATGAGGTTTTTTTTTTTAAAAAAAGAACAGTTAATTTTCAGTGAAACGTGCTTAGATCTACATACGTACATTTTCCACATTGCCAGTGACTGTGGCAAAATCTGTAGGATGTTTCAGCAAGTTGAAACAGACTTTTTACAGTCGAGCAATAACCAGCCATATAGCCATTGTGTCAAGACAAGTTGACTGCGAGGGATCTAATGCATGATTATGAATTTTTAAATCGTTTCTTTATTAATTCTATTTAAACATATCTTTCTCCTGCCAAGGGATCCAGTATTTTAAAAACTTTAGTTAAAAATTGTACTATTACAAACCTCAGTTCTGTTAAAAGCACATAATTTGGGATTATTTAAAATACATTTGAAAAATAATTTAAAATGTACAAAGTAATAAAAAGACAGAGCACGACACCACCTTCAATACTATTCTGCCACGTGATTAAAATCAAAGTCCTATCTGAATGAAAAGGTCTTTACCAGAAGGAGAGCAGTGGGCAACCAGACCTTCCATGAGAAGAAGCTCCATGGTTTGGGGACACAGCTACATTATAGAATTAATGCAGCTTGCTTGCACTTTAGCTGTTATGTCTAAATGCTATGGAATCATAAGAGTTGTAGTTTGGTGAATGTCCAGCACTATTTGACAGAGAAGGCTAAATACCTTGTATAATTACAACTCCAAAGCTTCCATAGCATTGAACCATAGTAGTTAAAGTGCATGAATCCTACAGTGCATATGGTACCTGGGAGCAGCTGGTGGGAAGGTTGTCTTCATCAATTGTGTTTGAGAAGGTGATGAGACCAAGAGAAATCCCTCCCTGAAGATTATAAAACTCAGACTAGCTTAAATGGGAAGATACAATCTCTTAGCGAAGTTAGTCCATTAGAATAGAAGCAACAAGGTGTTAATCCCTTTACTGGGGATTTAAAAGTTACAAAATAGTTAGCATGAAATGGGAATGGTGGAAAGAAGGAAAGAAGGAATCCAGTAATACCTTTGAGAATACTTGGGAGTTTTTTTCCCAGCATGCATTTTCAAGGATATTGATCTACTTCACAAAACTTTATCCATGAAAGCTCATGTGGAAATAAACCAATTAGTTTAAAAGGTACTATTTATTTATTATTTTTATTTGTTTAAAACATTTATACCCCATTCTTCCCAACCTCTGAAGAGAGATTCAGGATGGCTTCCAACAGGCAACCATTCAGTTTTTTTCATGTTAGGAGTGACTTGAGAATCTGCAAGTTGCTTCTGGTGTGAGAGAATTGGCCGTCTGCAAGGGGATGCCAGGATGTTTTGATGTTTGGCCATTCTTGTAGGAGGCTTCTCTCATGTCCCCCAGTGGCACAATGGGTTAAACCCTTGTACCGGCAGGACTGAAGACCAACAGGTCACAGGTTTGAATCCGGGGAGAGCACAGATGAGCTCCCTCTGTCAGCTCTAGCTCCCCATGTGGGGACATGAGAGAACTTCCCACAAGGATGGCAAAACCATTCAGTGCTGACACAATATAAAACATGTCATAAAATACAACCATATACATTAAAACAGTTATAAATATACATTAAAAACAGTTTGCCAGGTTAAAATCGTCATCCAAATCCTAATGAATTTCTTCATCACACCATCCTGATTTTTCTTTTTATGCTGTGACAAACTAGCACAGCTAATGCTATCTATTTTTCCAGGAAAATACTTAGCAAACATAGGATTCTGAGATGAGGTGTTTATAGATATAGATATGCAAACATTTCAGAATTTAAAGATTGTTCATGGTTCATGAGATGAGTTTAGGTACTGAGGTGTCAGTGTGGAAATGAGGCCCCTTTTCCAAATTTGCACCACCCTCATCTGTTGCCAAAATTCAGCCTTTTGAGGAACACCCAGCTTTCAATTCCTGTACAGACATAAAGCTTTGTGGGTAACTTTTGGAAATTCATTCTCATAGTAACCTACCCTGGAGAGGTTGTCATGAAGACAAATTGGCATAATCCTATTCACTCTGAGCTACTTGGAGTTGGTAACTTGAAAAAAAAATTCCCAAGATTCTTTTGATGGCTTTAGCCTTCATCCAGCACTGCCAGTTTGTCAAAATTTGGGTGAAATACCCATTTTGCATTTTAAATCCCACTGTTCAATACTTTTCATGACACATTACTATCATAGTGAAACATACTCTTTCTGTTTGTGTTTCTGTTGAGAGAATATTATTCTATCATTCTGCATCTTCTTAACTCAGCTCTGAATTTGGTTTAACATACCTTGGGGAGAGAGGCAGTGTAAATTACTAGTACATTTCTTTTTTAAAAAAACCACTTTAAATGCACATTTCACAAGATGACATGTGCTGAAATATTTAAATGCTTTTCCAAAGTAACTCTGAGGCATTCAGATCTGTCAGTCTTTGACAGCTTCTATATGGTTACCTCCAGCCATCTTCCTGTTAGATGCCAAGATGATAAAGATGTTGATTACAGAAGCCCATATGTTGGCAGTATGGATTACCTGCCATGTATATAGAACTGTTAACTACAAACAGCATAGCAGCTAATAAGCTTAGGCCTCTCTGCTTATCACCTCCAGCTCTTCCTACTGCTTTTCTCATAGACAGAAGTAACAAAACAGCACTTAAGATAATTAAGGTTAAACAGAAAGTTGGTGTTTCTTGTAGCGTAAATAGCCCAGTAACTGTTTGGAGATTTGAGCAGTCTAGACAGTCCATGCGAGAAAGAAGCCAACAAAATGTGAAAGATACCATTTGGTCTATTAGCAATCATTTCTAGAAAGCCAGTGTGATTAGCTCCTATTGCTGCCATTTAGTGAATCTTCTTTAAGGCCTGGAGTTTAGCAGAGAGAGAAGATAAGAGTTATAGTAAACACCGTGGCACCCATTTCATGAAAAGAATGGCTCTGAAATTTCATATGATTCTGGGACCCAGGTGGAGAAGACTGTCCTTTGAGTTGGCCTGAGGTTTTGTCCTAATAATAATAATAATAATAATAATAATAATAATAATGCCACTACCTTACTGGGATCTGCATGCATTATTTGCCAATACATCCCACAGTCCTAGACACTTGGGAAGTGTCCCACATGTGACCCAATACAACAGCCAGCAGAGTGTCTGCTGTGGACTCATCTTGTTGTGTTTCAAATAATAATAATAATCTTTATTTTTATCCCTCCACCATCTCCTCAAAGGGGACTCGGGGCGGCTAACATGAGACCAAGCCCGAAAATACAATACAACAAATAAAATACAAAGCAACCAAAATTATATCAAAATAAAATACATGAAATAACAAAATAGTTGCAAAGTATCATAATGAAAAGATTGAACATGATCTGCGGGCCAAATACACTAGATAAAAATAATAAAACCCTGGATGCCATAGAAGGAAAGTGTATTTCTAAGGGAGGAGTTCATAAAAGACAAACAGTGGGGTAAGGCCTTCATTAAGGACGGGAGAAAAGTGCATCATGAGGACGACACTGTAGATGGAACAGACAGAAATGGGATATATGATCAGTCTCCAAAGGCACATCAGAAGAGCCAAGTTTTTAGATCTTTCTTAAAAGCTGCTAGGGTGGGGGCTTGCCTAACCTCGCCAGGTAATGAGTTCCAAAGCTGAGGGGCCACAGCAAATAAGGCTCTCTCCCTCATTCCTACAAGTCATACTTGTAATGGAGGTAGGGGCAAAAGGAGGGCTTCCCCAGAGGAACAAAGAGATTGTGCAGGTCTATGGTAGGAAATGCGGTCCTTTTGGTCCTGCAATGGGGGGGGGGGGGGGGTAGGATGTTCCTTGGGTCTAACTTCCAGCAGAGGACCAGATGGGAAGCAACTCTGCTATTGGATTGTCCTCAGGATCCAGATGTTTTGATCAGGGGAAGACTGAGGAAGAAGTCAAGGGATGATGTATACCTCAGTTGATGTCACATGAGGTTGCTCGCCACTTCTTGCTTCTTTCTTGGTTCATCATGCTTAAATAGGCTTTAGGTTAAATAAAACCCAATTTTCTGTGTCTAGTCTTGTTATTCCATGTTGGGTCAGCAAACTGCCACTGCATAACAACTAATAAGCTTAGTTAGACCTTGCTGCTTGCCACCCCCATCCCTTACCACCACTCTTTGCAAATACAGAAGTAACAAAACAGCACTTAAAATAATTAAGGTTAAACAGACAGTTGCTACTACTTGCAATACAAACAGCTTAGTAACTGTTTGGAAATTTGATTAGCTTAGACAGTCCATGAGAAAAAGAGAGAAGCCAATAGGCTAGGAAAGACATCAGTCGCTCTCACAAGCAATCACTTCTAGAAAGTCAATATAATTAGCTCCTATTGATGCCATTTCATGAATCCCCTTTGTAGCCTGTAGCTTAGCCACTTAATTTGATACGTAGATTTACATGTTGCCCAGAAAGAGTTGTATTTGCAGCCAGCCCTCCACATTTTCAGAGATTAGGAAAACCTGCAAAAGTAAAAATATTTGCTTCTTTTTAAACCTGTATTTGGGAACACCTCTCTGGGTCCTCCAGCATGACTTTGTGGTCAACCTCTGCTGGATATTGATCACAAAATTGCACTGGGAGACCTACATATTCTTTGACAGATGTTACATTGGAAGTTGATTATAGACTCACACAGGAGGACCTACAGTTTCCAGCGAGAACATTTTCATCCAAAGAAGTCAAACTTGTAAATGTGGAGGGCTGTCTGTATATAGAAAGTGGGAGATGATTTGTATAGGTAATAAAAACCAGTAATTAAATTATCCATACTTTCAGGATAAATCAATGTTTATGTTATCTTTTTGCTTTTAGGTGAATGCAGCAGTGGAATTTGTGATGAAGCATCCTGCATAAATGGTGGAACTTGTACAGCAAGCAAAGCAGATCGGTACATCTGCCTTTGCCCACTTGGGTTTAAAGGCCGCCACTGTGAAGAAGGTGAGAGGTTGATTCTTGCGCTTCTATCTGCAGTTAGATTTCAATTAGGTAAATCTGAATCCAGTTGCTAGATAGAATCAGTGAATAAATGGGAATTTGGTAAGTCAACACTCACCTGGATGACTGTGTCTGGGTCTGAACAGCACAATTCAGGAAGGACTACCAAGATGGTAAAATATTTGGAATCAAAGCATTAGGAGGAAAAACTTAAGGAGCTGGGTATGTTTAGCTTGGAGAAAAGAAGATTGTGTTTTGATATGATAACCATATTTAAATACATGAAACGATGTCATGTTTTTAAATGGAGCAAGCTTGTCTACAAAATGTGTACATTTCTTCATGAACAGGATGGGCAGAACTTACGATTTCAACAAATCATGTAAAACAGAAGACAATAACAAATTTTTCCCAACTCTATAAATGCTATTTTGACCATAATGGGTTTATAGTAGTATCCAGTCATGAGATGGATAAAGCCCAGTGTTCTTCATAATGGTTTGCAAAGTATTATAAATTCCCAGCAAATACTTAAGGAAATTACCAACAGATGTTCAAGAAATGTACAGCTCTGAGTTATGGCAATGATTGTTGATGTGTTTTGTGTAAATATTGTACATGTATTGTAAGATGCCATCTATCATCTTGTTGGGTGGCGGTACCAACAGTTTGCAACAACTGTTTGGAGCTACAACTGTATAAATATTTTATTAAAAGGACACTGAGGATTGATTGACGACTGTCCTATCCATTTCTGAACATCCAGGGAATATTTCATGCTACAAGTGATGCATTTAGATAGCATATATTACACTTTATGTGGTATAGTGTTGAGTTTTCATTTTTGCATGGGGGGCCGAGGGGAAAAAACTTTTGGCGGCAAGGCAGGTAAGGATAAAAGGCTTTTGGTAGCAAGGGAGGTAGGGGAGGACAAGGAAAGCGAAGGAAAAGCTTGGAGAGGGAGGAGGGAGAAGGAGGGAACCATGGAGCCCTTCAGTATGTTTCACAGAGCCCCAAGGTCTCTGCAGAGCACATTTTGAGAACTACTGTTTTAGAGAAACTACTTTTGTGCTTATTTTTGTCCTGTTTCTCCAGCTTACCTCCTCTTCATGCCTCAATTCAATGAGAGCTTGAAATCCTTTGCTATCACTCCCTGGCCTTTGGAACCACAGAATTACCTTTCTTTCATGGAATTTGAGATCACATTTCGCCCAGATGCAGGGGATGGTGTCCTTTTATACAGCTATGATACGGGCAGCAAAGACTTCCTATCCATTAGCATGGCAAACCGTTATGTGGAGTTCAGGTTTGACTGTGGTTCAGGAACAGCTATCATCAGGTAAATGGGATTTGTAATTATTTTTATATTAACTACCTTTTCCATGCCATTATGAGCCTCTTTGCTTTAAAGGATCATTAGAGCTAATCAAAGATTTAATTTTGTTATAGCCACTGATTAAGCAAATTATTGTTTGATATTATTGTTGAAAGACTGACAATAATAATTTGGAGAGAAAATAGCATTGGGATTTCTTAAAGTCTAACAGACTTCTTGTGAAATGATCTCTGACTATTGGCTATTGCTTCTGTTGTGTTTTCAACCGGGAAACTGCTCAAGGTCAATAACTTACATTCTAAGGACTAAACTGGACATTACATTGAACAAGTTGCTGTGACCACATTTAATTCTTCATCTCATCATCTAATATTACTTATGAGGGTCCTGACATAATGACATTTTTTCTATTCTCCAAGTCCTTGTTGTTTTGTACTTTCAAGTTGTTTCTGACTTACGGCAACTATAAAGTAAATATATTGCAAAATTTTCTGAGGCCAAAAGTTAGGCCAAAAGTGTGTGACTTGTCCAAAGTCACCCAATGGGTTTTCATGGATGGTCATAAATGGGTTTTCATTGACAGTTTCATGTTTTCCAAAGTTGTAGTTCAGTACTCAAACCACTATGCCATGCTGGCTAATGCTGGTGAATTATGAGGAGAAGAGATGAAAAAAAATTGCTATGGATCTTATTGGGGCTAACTGCCATGGGTCTCTTAATTTCAGACTCCCTCCCTCACTTTACCTGAGGTCCATTCACATTGCATAATTATAGCACTGTTATACCATTTTAACTGCCATGGTTCTATCCCATGAAATAATGGCCTTTATAGTTTGCTGAATTTCTAGAGCTCAATGGCCAAGAGCTCTAAATATCCCTCCCTAAATTACCAGTCCCAGGACTCTATAGGATGTTACCATGGTGGTTAAAGTGGAATACTGGTGATACAATTCTGTAGTGTGACCAGATCCAGTGGTTTATTTTGCAAACACTGTGTAAGAGAGAATAACTTAGTATCATTGTTTTGCTTTTCTTTCCTTATCATTTTTTTTCTTTCATGTTATATTTCTATGAATATTGCCATTAGTTTGAATTGCCAGCTACCTTGAGTGCATTGCTGGTAAAGTAATATAAAGTAGTCATAATTCACAAAGGAATACTTTTGTGGCAGCAGACATGCTTAACATAACATTTAATTTTGGCTCCTACATGTTTATGGTTTTGCTTTTTTCCATGTCCTTGCTCCTCATCTGATAATAAGAATAGCTGCCTCATTTTGTGCTACTGCTTATTTCTTGGCAAACAATGTTAGGATTACACTAGGAGTCAATCTTTTGTGGATCACAAACACATTTGAGACTATGAGAAAATACTGTGAGTGCTGTAGCAAAATAGTGGGTGGTTGTGAAGGCAGCCAGGAACAACACATATTTACATTGCAGAAGGTGGAGTGAAGAGGCTGAAAAATAGTAGCAAACTGTCTAAGAAACTGATGTCAAGAAAATCTTGTGAGCCCCAGACCCATATTAGAAAAAAATCCCAAAAACAATTGTTCTCTTACCATCCCAGTTCAATGCCTTCTTCACTCAAATTTCTCTGTGCAGCTCAACTTCCTTAGTATTTTACTATGCTAGTTGCTCTACCTTCTCCATCTACTTCCATACCATAGTTTACCTTTCCTGTTTCTTTCATGGTACACGGTCTTCTGCTCTTTATCACTCCATGGTCACATCTATTCCTTTTCTTCTCCTTGCATCATCATTCTTCCCTCAATCCACAACATACAAACATGGTTCAGCTTCTCTCTCTTCTATCAGTAATTTCTGATTGTGAATGCACATACTGAAAGCTCAACAGGGAGCAATAAATCAGAGTAAGAGCAGCAGTTTTGGGGCTTCATTTCGTATGAAAGGAAGCAGGTAACTTAGGGGGTGCTATGCCCACTCATCTCTCCAGCACCCTATTTGGAACACATGGAACATGCTTTACAAATCAACTTAATTACCTTAAAATATTGTAGGTCTAAGTTGAGGAATTTCATAGCTCATATAACTTTTGCAAAACATGTGAGCACAGCAGTTGTATTTGTGTTGCAGAATTTCAAAGAAAGCTCTAGCAATAGGACATATATCTAGCTCACTATCTCCATCTCATCCTGTGGCTAATGCTAGCCATAATACCAACCTAGACCCTTTGTCTTTCTAGCCCACTGTTTCCCAACTTGTGGTCCTCCAGGTGTTTTTGACTTCAGCTCCCACAATTCCCAACAGCTGGTAAACTGGCTGGGATTTCTGGGAGTCAGTGTCCAAAACACCCAGAGGTCCAAAGGTTGGGAACCATTTCTGTAGCTCAATGGTGCAAATCAATGGTGCAGAGGTTGTTGGATCATATTTCCGAGCAACCCTATCAATGGCGACCAAGTTGGAATACCTGGTCTCATATCATTTGCTTTAACCAGTCAGTAATGACTCCCCAAAGGCTGAAATGAGGATCCTTTCCATCAGCTGTTAATTGGCCACTCCAGCTGAGAGATGCTAAGGACTGACTTATACAAGGCATAACTCCTCCAATGGACTATGGCTCAGATAATTAAAACATTAATTGTTGAAAGCAGGAACTTTCCTATCGTAATGAAGACTGATATGGAAAAAAGACATAATGTGAATATTGTTCCTTATTAAGCAGTCAGCTTCATTCGGTTTCCATATTACATATTGATCTGAGGGATTATTACCCTATTATGTATTGATATATCCGGGGTAATTAAATCTTAATAGTTATTAAACAAAGACCAGGAAGAAAAAAAAATGGAAACATGGGGAAATAATAAAAGTTATGATAAAGTAGGTGTTTATTGTGTTTTCCGTGTGCTCTATGGAGATATTTAAACTTGGAGAGATGTTAAGACCTCATCAGTAACCAAGTACAAAATGCAGCCTGCATTTGAAATGGAAGTGCGTGCATTGTTAAAACTGACATGAAATTTCAGCTTCTTCCACAAGACTACTAAATGTAACCTGTCTGGCAGAAATTTAATTTGCATCTATCCGTTATATGTCAGCTGCATTTCTGTTCTCAGGTTAGTGACAATTTATAAAGATTACCTCGGTACATTTCATATTCTTCTTGTGGGAAGTCTTGCACAGCAATTGCAAATTACATTTCTTCCAAAGACCTCTTTTCATAATTAGGATTGTGTGTTGATTGGGCATCCCTAGGGAATATCTAATGTGCAAAAAAGTTGGTGCTGATTTACCTGTAATGAGTTCTGCAAAATATACAGCACGATCCATCCACTCCAGCAGATCCTTATGGGGACATTTTTTCACATCTTTCCACCCACTCTTTGCAAGTCCTTACTTGACCATGTGTGCTACTGCTTATATTATAACGTGCCTAGTTCCACCATGACTCCAGTGAAGATCTCCAAAGAGTCTCATTTCTTTTGTGGTTATGGTCTGTAAGCTGATTTTACAGGGAGGTGAACTGTTCATTTATTGGAGTGTTGTGTGGTTTCCGGGCTGTATGGCTGTGTTCTAGCTCCAGTTTCTCTTGACTTTTTGCCTACATCTTTGGCTGGGATCTTCAGAGGATCTGATAGTAGTAAAGCAAGTAGAGTATACATACCTGTGGAATGTCCAGGATGAGAGAAAGAACCAGTGTCTATTAACCAAGTGTGAAGGGTGCAGTTAGCAAAACTGATTTGCAAGTGTTTGAGTGGGATTCATCCATTAGCTTATGAGTAGCTGAGAAGATTGCATCGTTCAGTGGTTCTCAACCTGGGGTCCCCAGATGTTTTTGGCCTACAACTCCCACAAATCCCAGCCAGTTTACCAGCTGTTAGGATTTCTGGGAGTTGAAGGCCAAAAATATCTGGGGACCCCAGGTTGAGAACCACTGGCATAGTCAATAGTGAGGGCATCTGCCTGGAAGTAGCCAGGCTTTTGTGGTTGTGCACACCACAACCACAAAGGGAATGAGACTCTTTGGAGATCTTCAATTTTTTAACTATGCAGTCTTCTCAACTGTTCACATGCTAATGTATGGATAATCCACATTATATCTGCTTTGAACTGAATTATATGAGTCTACACTGTCATATAATCCAGTTCAAAGCAGATAATTTGACAATTTCTTTAATAGTTTTTAAATAAATCACAAGTTCATGATTGGAGGAAATCTTCATAAATCAAAATTCTCCAAAATCTAAGATGAAATTATCCCTACTTTGCACCAGCCAAATTCAGTAAATACAGTTATTTCCCAACCTTGAAGTAGAATCCCAGCTCCAGCCACATTGCATCTGCCCACCACAGTGTATCTCAAATTCTGCTCCTCCAGATGTTTTGGATTTCAGCTTCCACAATTCCTAATAACTGGTACACTGGCTGGGATTTCTGAGAGTTGAATTCCAAAACACCTGAAGGAACAGAGTTTGAGAAACACTGGCCCATCAATAGATATTAAGGAAGAGGACAAAAAGAGAAGGTAAAAACGTAGTTCAGCACCACAAACATAATTGAATAGAAATGATTCCAACTATACTATTTAATATGAGAGTATTCAAAGCTTTGGTTTTGCCCAAATTGAAATGTTTTAAATCTCAGGTTCTCCATTCCGCAAATGAAAAAGGGTTGTTTGTTGTTGCGTGCCTTCAAGTTGTTTGTGTTGTTTGTATGGCAACCTTAAGGCGACCCTGTCAAGGGGTATCCTGAGGCTGAGGGTTTACTTTTCTGAATGGGGAATCAAACCCTGGTCTCCAGTCATATGGAATCAGTTGGGGGAACCTTCTGCAAAGCTAACACAGATCTTCTGAAAGCTGCCATGAAATTAATGGAGCTTCTTTGCATTGAGCCAAATATAACTCTCATTGTTCCAGCATTGCCTATGCTGAATTACATCTTGGATAGCAATCTTCTCCTATCTCACTTCCTGATTTTTAAAAAAACAACTTGAAATGTTAGGGATTGAACACCACGTGACTGTGGAAACATTGGTTGGTTGTACTTTTTTTAATGAAATAAATCCCATAATTTGGATGGATTTGTATTTTGAACCAAAAGCACAAATCAGCACCTTTTGAACATGTAATATATTTTTCCCAGATGGAAAGGAAAAATACATTTTGAAGTTTAGTGTTGAGAAATCAATTTAACTATTGCTTACTATTGGTTTGATGTGCCCATTGCCATGTTACTAACCTTGTTGCCTCTTTGGTGAAAAGGTGTCGCTATGTATATCAGTCCAACTTTGGGAGATATAAAATGGTTGGACCTAGTATATATTTGTTCCATTTCCTTTTAAAATAGGAGCGAAGAACCTGTCAGCTTGAACCAGTGGCATGAGCTCAGAGTGTCACGCACAGCGAAAAATGGCATATTGCAAGTTGATCAGCAAACACCAGTAGAAGGAATGGCAGAGGTAACGAAAGGATGTATATTCATGTATTCACAGCCACAAACAGTGATTTGGTTTTTAAATGTAGGATTTGTTCAGGTTTTAGCTGTTGGCTTTGGATGATCCTTGGTTCTCTAATCCAAAAGAAAATAAAGATTTCAAGAGATACATCAATGAATGCAACTATTATGTGACAAAGCAGGGTCAGTGATCTTTTGCATTGTGATAATGGAAGGAGTCTGTTCAAGGCTCAAGATGAAGCTATATCCGAATTGCCCCAATGTATTACCTCCCACAGGAGCAAATGTTCTTTGGGTCTTTCCCTGGCAATAATTGCATATCGATTATTATGCAAACCATCGTCTGAATGATTAAGAAGAGACCTTGTGCTGACATGCTGCTAGTACCAAATCAAAGTATCCTTGTCTGTCTGAAGTGGATCTTGAATGCACTCATGAACACAATCACTATTAGAAAAAAACACTAAATAGAGTTGGTGAACCATAGAAGTGCCCATTTGGCACTGGAATCCTATTGCAAACATATCTCCTTCTACATCCTGCCTAGGAATTTAAGATCTTCTGGAGAGGCCCTGCTCTCGGCCCCGCCCCTGTCACAAACGAGACTGGCGGGGACGAGGGACAGGGCCTTCTTGGTGGTGGCCCCCCACCTGTGGAATTCACTCCCCAGGGAAATTAGATCATCATCATCCCTCCTCTCTTTTAGAAGGAAATTAAAACATGGATATGGGACCAGGATCTGGCAGACTGACAAGTACAATGACGACAAGAGCTTTGGAATGGATTATGATAAGCTGAATGGACTCACTAATTACAAATCTTGGTGAAACGATGGCCACCAGGCTGGCTTCTTTTCTTTTCTTTTTTAGATTTTATTGTATTAACTTAATGTTTTAATTATTTATAATGACTGTTGTTGTGTATTTTACTGTGTTTAATTGTAGGCATCGAATATGTGCTGGCTGGAAGCTGCCCTGAGTCCCCCCTAGGGGGTTGAGAAGGGCGGGGTAAAAAATACCCGAAATAAATAAATAAATAAATAAATGCAGACCCTATGAACAGGACTTTCAATTATGTCTTATGCTATACATCATTTCCCCTTTCAGAAATGAGTGGAGATTTTTTCCAATATGGAATGCTATTTTAGAGCAGACTTCTGCATGAAGTTCTGTTTTGCATGATTGTGGATTTATCATGGTTGTGTATTGTGCATTGATGCATTCTGAATGCACCTCTATGAACAATGTGCATTTACTTGCACAATGTCACAGATCTCTAATGAGCTGGCATTGCACAACTGTCAAAACTCCATGAACATAAAGGAATATTCAATCTTCTCAGTGCCGAATCTCAACACTTGTCTCCATTAATCCTTCTCATGAGATACCAGTGACTTTGCTACATGAGACACTTAGACTTAAGTATTGCTGTTGCCTCTACCCTGCAGTTATTTGTGAAGCTTAATGTACAGTGTTAATTCTTGATTTGCATCACGAATTAGGACCAAGCTTATACTTGATCTTCCAAAACATAGAAATCAATGCATCCAGGCTTTCTAAGCAATCATTAATGGTGTTGTTGGACTTTTAGGTTGGAAATTTGGACAGTTTTGCTTAGTGCAACATTTCATGCTTCTGTATCCAATTTTCTGCTGAGCCATTTTTTCATTACGGCAGAGGTGGTCAAATGAGGCCATTTAGATATTCTTGGATTGCAGCTCCCATCAGCTGTAGCCAGCATAGCCAATAGTGAGGAATTATGGCAGTTATGGTCAACAACATGTGAAAGCCTATTGTTGCCCATCCCTACATTAGTAACATACACCATCCATCATTGCATTAAGCGTTGGTTGGGTATCCTGTTGTGTAAACAGGACACAGGCAGTCTGTAGTAGTGAAGGTTGTATTTATTCATTCATTTTTGTTTTGCTTGTAGGGAGCTTTCACACAGATTAAGTGCAATCCTGATATGTTCCTTGGTGGAGTACCAAGTTATGACAATGTGAAGAAGAACTCTGGGGTCCTTAAACCCTTCTCTGGGAGTATTCAAAAGGTACATGAATATCAAATATACTTGTACACATATTTGTTTAGCTTGTGTTTGTAAGGCTTGTAAGTTTGGATCCAGAGCAGACTCAATGAAATAAATTGGATTTACATCACTGCCAGTTAGTTTACTCAGTTAATTGATTAGATCTATACTGAACGCATTCGCTGCCCTTCTTCCAGAAAATATTTAAAAAAAAGAGAAGTGAGACTCTGCTGTTGTCTTCCACCCCAAGTGGAAACAAAATTTTCTTCCAAAAACAAAATTTTCTTCCAAGATGAAACTACAAAATTCTGTGCTTTATATATGTGCTGATGCTCACTTTTGGTATTGTTCAGACTTATCTATCTATCTATCTATCTATCTATATGGATCAATATGAGAGGCAATAATATTCAAACTTTTTAAAGTAGCTTCCAAGGTTGCTGAAATAGATTGACTGAAAACACCCCTTCAAAAGAAAAAAACAAGCTTTGTATGAAATTCTAGTCTTATTCCTGCATATTAAGATACTAGAAAGACTTTCATTGTTTAGAATGCCATAGTTCATAATTCTAGTCTTATTCCTGCATATTCTAGTCTTATTCCTGCATATTAAGATACTAGAAACACTTTCATTGTTTAGAATGCCATAGTTCAGTGGTTCGCAACCTGTGGGTCTCCAGGTGTTTTGGCCTACAACTCCCAGAAATCCCAGCTAGTTTACCAGCTGTTAGTATTTCTGGCAGTTGAAGACCAAAACATCTGGGGACCCACAGGTTGAGAACCACTGTCATGGTCGTTATTGCTGTTGCTTTCCTTTGAGCCACACTAATAGGCTAGCTTGTGATACATACAGATATACTTCAGTTAACTAAGAAGATGTGTTGTTGGATATTAGTCTAACAGAAATTTTGGTACTAGAGACAGAAATAATATGGAAAAATATGAGCAGACTCCTACACCACAAAAAGAACTAATCATTTCGATATGTTTCAGCAAATGTTTTATTCACAATTGACAATATGCACATATTAAGTAAGTCTTGCATTAGTAAATAATAACATTTTGAACCTTCTTGAAACTGCTTGAACTCTTTTTCCAAAATGTACCCAGGGATGATTTTTGCTTTCACAGACCTCCACTTTTTAATTTATTTCTATTTTGGTGTCCAGATGTAGAGGTTTATGGTTTTTTAAAAACATTCAGGGGGTTTCTGAAGAGGCAAAGAGATTCTGGAGACAGCTGCTGTCCATGTTGCCTGTTGTAAATCAGCACAAATAGCTACACTAGGTTCCATTGAAGAATAACAGTCTTTCTCAGGAGAAGCTATATTGCATTGGTTACTGCACACTGCTGCAATTTTATACCAAATGTTTGTTTTGTCTCTATCATGCTCTCATTACTGATGTTGCTAAAAATACATATAGCTAGATAGAATGTGGGAAAGAAAGGGATGACTGGGAAAGTATACAAAGATTTTGTAAAAATGAGTCTCTTCATCAGAAACATTGTTAATGGAGTTGTGCCTGTATATTGCAAAACCAGTTTATTTAGTTGGCACATTTGATTAACTAAAAGGAAGGCAGTAATAACACAGAGCCAACACATTATGTGTCTGCGTATGTATGTACATGTGATTAAACCACAATTTAGGGGAGATGTTGACAAGTTGGATTGTGTCCAGAGAAGGGTGGCTACAATGATCAAGGGTCTGGAGAACAAGCCCTATGAGGAGTGGTTTAAAGAGCTGGGCATGTTTAGCCTGCAGAAGATAAGGCTAAGAGGAGACATGATGGCCATGTATAAATATCTGAGGGGAAGTCATAGGGAGGAGGGAGCAAGCTTGGTTTCTGCTGCCCCAGAGACGCAGAATAATAGCTTCAAACTACAGGAAAGTAGATTCCACTTGAACATTAGGAAGAATTTCCTAATGATGAGAGCTGTTCAGTAGTGGAACTCTCTGCCCCAGAGTGTGGTGGAGGCTCCTCCTTTGGAGGCTTTTAAACAGAGGCTGAATGGCTATCTCTCAAGGGGTGCTTTGAATGCGATTTTCCTGTTTCTTGGCAGGGGGTTGGACTGGATGGCCCATGAGGTCTCTTCCAGCTCTGTGATATGTACTCATGATATGCTAAAAACATTTGTGAGCATACGTGTATAATGTGCAGCGAGTACTAGTTTGAAGACATTATCAAACAGCTGAAAAAGAAAAGCACAATCATGGAAAGTATAATAAATCCCACATAAAACTGTCTCAGAAGGAATTCTACTCAGAAATCCCCTTCACCCAGAAGTTTCTTGCATATTTTAGACTTGGTTCACAGCAGAACTACAAATGTTTGTCTAATATTTATGCACAATGTTCATAAACTTGTCTCAACAGTCTGAAAAAATAGAGGTTAGCTCTCTGAGTTACACAGCTCAAGAAAGCTCATTGATGTTGTATCTGTCTCTTTGTCTCCTTGAGGATAAACAATAGAATCTCTAGTAAATCTGTTTGCAGGAAGAATAGTGATGAAAATAACCAGAACTTCGGCCAACTTCTCCAGTCTTTTTCTTCTTTGATTTTGGCAGATTTTTTTTTGAAAAAAAACTTTTAAGATATTGAGAAAAATAAATAAAGTAATAAACAGTTTTGGAAGAGAAAACCTTTGCAGCTTTTTTCTCTTGTCTGTTAAACAAAGGTTATCCTGAACGACCGGATAATAGACCTAAAGCAGGATTTAACATCTGGAATAAACCTAGACAACACTGAGCATCCCTGTGTGACTGCCCCATGTGTCAATGGGGGAACCTGCGTGCCCAAGAAAGATGGCTACGAATGTGATTGTCCTTTGGGTTTTGATGGGCAACATTGCCAGAAAGGTAAGAAACTTGCTATTGTGTATATTTCCACATTTCCACATTGAGCATGGATTTGGATCATCAATTCTTACAGGAAAATGTCTTTACAAGGTGATACATTTCTGTTAATTCTTTCTTGACTTTTGGTCTTACATTTGTCATGTGCCAAAACAGAGGGGGGAAATCACAGGTGGAGATCCTGAATCAGGAGATACATTTCTGTCATATAGCTCTGATACGTCTATCAAAACAAAGCCACCAACACACACCTTGTGTCTGCCCTCCCTCTGCTTCCCAAGGCAGCTATGTAGGTGGAGAGTAGAGAGAACAGTAGAGATGCATCCAGCTATTTTCTATGACAGGCATCCAGAGGGATTTCCAGGGATCCTTGAGATGCCCCTGAGGATGATGATGATGATGATGATGATGGTGGTGGTGGTATTGCTGTGTGTCCAGCCAAAGGAAAATAAATGGGTGCATGTCTGATACTCTCCTCCAACAGAGAAATGTCTATCTTGGGGGAATTACAGCAAAAAAGAGGCAGATTTGGAGGGAGGGAATGTTTGGTTATTGCATGTGTGAAATAAAATCCATAGTTGGTTTCCATAGTTGTAATCAAACTATCATAACATGTTGGCTCTGCTTTTATAATACTGTTGGGAATTTTGGTGGCCCTTTGGACATTGTCACAGTGCCTCTTTCAGCCCCAGATAGCATATTCCAGTGGCCAGGAATGCTGGGAGCTTTCCTTCAATGTTTGGAGAGCCACACAGTTCCCAGTCTTGCATTATACTTTGAAAGGGCCTGCTGTTTCTGGAGCAAAAGCATAGGTTATGGGTTGTGTTGATATTTGTCTATAAGTGAAGCAATAAAGCTTTTACTTGAGAATGGCTTTCATTTACAACAGATTTATTCAATTTACTCGTCTGTGTGCTGTGAATTGGCTCTGCAGGGAGGAAAGTGTAGCTGAACAATTCTCAAATACAAATCCCGATCCAGAGAATTAATGAGTAGTGTTTGTTTGTTTGCTGGCTTTATTTGTTTGCATCCCTAATGTGTGTGACAAGATTAGAATGCCACTTGAAAAGTTACGTTGCTTTTTGTTGTTTGGCATCCTGGTCTCATCAACTTGTGAAAAAAGATCCCACAAGACCAGTGCAATTTATGCTAAGCTAAATGCTTTCTGTATGGAGAAATTAATCAACTTACAAACTCCCATGATTAATGTGTGATATTTTCTTAATATACGCACAAGAACAGTGCTGCTACTTTCACAGTAGCTTGAAGTTCGCAGCTTCCAGTGCAAGAATGAAAGAGTTCCCTGCCAGCCCAGGAGAGAGGGAAGCTTCATCTTGTTGTATTCAGGGGGACTTAGCTCATGCCCTTAAGCAAGAGGATTTATAGGCCTTGTAACTTTATCCTCATTTGCGTTAACTGCTTGGGCTGCAATGCAACCTCTAATCCTTTCCTACACTTTGGCTTCCTTGTAATTTGACAGCAAGAACAAATCCCTCCTTGGTCACACATTGGAGACCACCAAAGAATTCTTTACAGAAGTAGAGAGCGTTTTCGTCAATGCACTCAAAGGAGCTAAGAGCGGAAATATTTCTTTGTGTGGATTTCCTAAATCACTCAATGACTCTGTCACATGCAGATTTATTCCACCAGGTGGCAGCATGTTACTTCTGATATATTCTCATCTCTTCTAACCAGATTTTAAAAAATCTTACTAATTTAAATGGTAAACAACTTTTCTGCAAGAAGTACATGAGCAATAGAGAGCAGATGAGAGCTCTTAGATGTGCATGGCCAGAAAATGCAAATGTTTCTATTTTAGACTACCAACTTAGTGCAGTATAGTCATTTGAGCATTGGACTACAACTCTGGAGCAGAATTCAAATCCTCAGTCAGCCATGGAAGTCCACTGGATGACCCTGGCAAGTCACATTTTCTAAATCTCAGAGGAAGCAACTGTGACCCTTGCCATGAAACAGCGATGCCTGAGTGCAGTGGTTCTCAATCTGTGGGTCCCCAGGTGTTTTGGCCTACAACTCCCAGGAATCCTAGCCAACTGTTAGGGTTTCTGGGAGTTGAAGGCTAAAACATCTGGAGATCCACAGGTTGGGAACCACTTCTTTAATGGCACTGTAAGTCAGGAATGACCTGAAAGTACTCAACAACAACAAACTCCCAGAACCTCCCTGATAGCATCATGGGTTCTTTTCCCTCCTGACTGAGTGACTTCTTGGAGTTGATAATACCAAACATTGGCGTTTCCAAATTCTGCAGCATGGAATACTCTGCAACATTTCAGTGATGAAAACTAGGACACATGTGACCAACCAACATCTGAGTCTGGTGAAGATAGAGGATCATACTAGATAGGACAGGAGAGGAGATAAGGAGGTTGCACAAGTCTGTGAAGTGTAAGATTCTCCCTACTCCTCTTTTCTTCCCCTTCTTGAGTAAGTTGATTGCAGAATATTCTTTCACTTTGAACTTAGTTTGCAAGAACCTGTATTAACTGAGGATAACATTGGAAATGCAAAGGAAGAGAGAGAAGCTGGGGCATCAAAAATGGAGGGTTTGGGGAAGAGCAGATTCCACTTGGGTAAAACTTCAATATTGTGTTCCAGGATTTTGTCTGATGGTTTTTGCAGGTAGCATCTCTTAGCAAAGGTGACTTACAAGTCCTAGAACCCTTCTAACCAGCATGCCCTGGGATCTGGGAACTCTAGTCTAAGAATTAAGCTTTCCATTTTCTGTTCTAATTTCTAACTGTAATACCATATATAATCATTTTGAATGCTAAAAGATCTTATTGAATGCTTTTAAAAGTGGACACTCTGTTCAAGATGAGGATTTTTTCACTGCTGAAAAATAAAATATGAACCTTCTTCTGCTTTATGCTATCTCATTGAAGAATGTGGAAATTACTGCTTAAACAGTAAGTAACAAAAGTGAAGCATTGTTCCATACTTGTGTGTGTGTGCCTATGTGCCCCTGCTCTATAAAGCTAGCAGTGCGGTTTTAAGTGCTTTTTGCAAGCAATTGTAGATAACCATATAATCTGTAATCATATTCTGGATTGCAATGTAAAGCTTCAGCATTGTGATGATTGGACCCATAAATAGCAATTTGCCTTGCTACCTATGAGAATTACTTCATGGAAAATCTAAGCATGTGTGGGTAAGGCGTCTAATAAAAATTGTAGGAACTAGTGTATTTTCTGGGTGTATTTGCACAGTCATTTTCAAGCATCAAAACAGTACTTAAAATGAATGTTAGGGAAAACAGGGAAATATTAGGTAGCATTTAGAGTGAAGTATTACCTGTATTCCCAAGCTTCTGACCCAAGAACACCATGGGGTCTCATTGGATGGCTTATTTTGTTGGATGTGGATAAATGAAACCACAGATACTGGTACCACAGATACAGGCCTTGTACTGGACTTTGTACCTGTATGACACTGGAGCATTCTGATAGAGGGAGGTAAATATCTCATAAAACTGCAAATTCCCAAATGCTATAGCATTGAGCCATGGCAGTCAAGCAGCTTTGCAATGTGGATACAACCCAAGTTGGACTGAAATACATAGTCCAACATATATAGAAATACAAGACTGGATACATAGTGAAACATGGTTAAATGCCCAGGATTAGTTTAGATGTGCTTTCCCTGCATGGCAGGGGGTTGGAGTGGATGTCCCATGTGTTCTCTTCCATGGTTCTATGTTATACTTACTTACAAAGAGGCAGGATGAATTGCTATATGGATCACAGCAAATATAGCTTCTTACTATTGCCATTTGTTATCAGTGTGCTTTCTGTCCCATGGCACATGCATGATTCCTGGGGCAAACTATGCCATGTGCAAAGAAAAGGAGGAGCATGACACTTCTCTCACACCTAGTTCAGGGACAGAAAGATTGCCCCATGCGAATGCCCTTGATGTTGCAAATGCCTGGCTCTGTGCTACTACCCAGGCTTCCTCGAAGCCTGTGAACAGCGCTGCACACTTTAGTCTGTGTTGTGGATTGCCTTGTGACCAGCATGGTGCAAGACTCAGGTTTCTGCTTCAGCCACATTGGACATTTTCCCTAATTTTATTGCAGATGAAACAGCCATTTGCCTACCAGGTATTTGCATATTTTGTTACCATGCCTTTTCTCCCTTGCTTTTGAATTCCTTTTGCTTAGGGAATGACAATGGTTTCAGCAAAGAGATGCCTAGGAACTACAGAAGCAGGAGGCAAAAGCCAGGAGCAGATAAAAATTAGCAATGACATTGAGGACAAAAGCAGGCATGATGTGAAGGGGGGGGGGGGTGTCCCAATTTATGAGGCTCTACTGTCCTTGCATTTTGAACCTGAACCCTTTGTGCAGTGGGATAAAATCTGTATGATGTGGAGTTGTAGCATATGTTCTGACATATACTGCAAGATATCTAAATGTCCCATTTTCAAGCAGCATTTATATGTGAAGAATCAAGACTGTTCCAGCCAAATATCTATAGCATTTTGGCATGCTTTTCTAGCAAATTGTGCCACTAAATCGCACTGAATCCCCCCAAAGGTATGAAAGCACAAAATACCCCCATTCCATCACCATGTATTTACAAATACAGTAAATAAATAAATAAATATGCATCATAGAACTCTATACTGCCCTCATAGACATCAATATCTCTTCTTTGATCTCTCTCAAGATGGTGTCAAGAAGGAATAGAACATGATGATCTGTGCCATTTTGAGTGGGATTTTAGTTATGGATTTTTAAAAACTTGCTATATGAGAGAATGCTGCCTTCAGAAGGTTTGGGTGAAAAGGAAATAGGCTGCTGCTCCCCCACCACATGGCTTCCAGCCCCCACCAAGAGCCGGAAAATATGAGGTGCAAAAAAATAATAATATAATAAAACAAAAAAAATCTGTACATATTCTTCTTATATTCTGAATAATATCGTGATCCAAATCACAGTGCATTTGCAGTAGTGGGAATCAGATGAATTGTTTTATGGTTTGCTAGAAAGCAATATGCAACTGTTTGGCCCAGTATGTTACACTGGTTCAGATAAAAAAAAATACATCGATTTCGTGGGACAACTCCTCCCCCTCCCAGCAGTTTCTTTTCTTTGTTTGTTTCTTTGCTCCTGCTTATAGAGGGTGAAAAGTTGCATAGGAAAAGTGTTGAAAACAAAGGGCCATTGTTTACAATTCCATATGCCTTGGTCTAGTTATCTGTGGATTCTTCAAAAGGATGCGTCTTGGAGGTACGAAAACATACTGTCTGGTACACAAGGGTTCTAATCAATTTAGGAGATTTGATCAAAGCAATAGCACACATTCTTCAATTAATCTGCACAATCCCAAATCTAAATCATACCCTGAAGCTGCTGTGGTCCCAATGAGATGTATGTAGTTAGCTTCCTTTTATCAGATTGTCTGCTTACTAGCATCGGTTCAGTGCAGTGTCTCAGGCCGTGGCCTTTCTCATCAACCGGAGTATTATTTGTTGTTGTTAAACTAGAGATGTCAAAGATTGAATGTGCAAATAGTAAGCTATACAGATATAGTTTCTATGCATAGCATTTCTTCTGTTTTCCCTACCCAACAACCATTTTGGGAGGAGGAATTAAAATGTATAAAAGAACACACAAACACTGCCAATGCAAAATTGAATCTCTAAAGCAATGGTTCTCAAAGTGTGCTCCACGGAGCTCTTGGGGCTCCACAAAACAAACCGAGGGGCTCCGCGCTTCCCTCCTCTGCCTCCTTCCTCCTCCTTCCTCCTTCAATTTCCTCCTCTTCTTCCCCCTCCAAGCTTTCCCTCCTCTTTCCAGCTCCTCCTCCTCCCTTGCTCCCAAAAGCCTTTTTTGCTCTTTCCCCTCTCTCCAAAAGCCTTTTTTCTTCACCTTCCTTGCTTTCAAAACTCTATTTTCCTCCCACTTCTCAAGGGGTGCATTGATTGTGCTATTTATGCAAGGCAGAAGGGGGGTGGGGTTGAACTGAATGGCCCCTGGAGTTGCACCATTATTATAGGATACCAATAAAAACTATTGTATTATTATTATTATTATTATTATTATTATTATTATTATTATTATTATTATTATTGGCTGTGTGGCCATCTGTTGGGGTTCCTTTGTGCTTTTCCTGCATGGTAGGAGGGGGTTGGATTGGATGGTCTCTGGGATCTTCCACTGTTAAGTTTATGTTGGCCAAATCTATCTATCTATCTATCTATCTATCTATCTATCTATCTATCTATCTATCTATCTATCTATCTATGTACACACATATACACACACACACTAATATAATATAATATAATATAATAAATATAATGCAATGCAATGCAATGCAATGCAATGCAATGCAATGCAATATAATATAATATAATATACAATATATAAACATTTTGTGGGATTCCATGAGAAACTTTTGCTGCAAAAAGGGCTCCATGGCTGAAAAATTTGGGAGCCCCTGCTCTAAAGTAACACAAATCTTCCCAGAACAAGGGGAGATTTATTATGCACTGGCAACCGATGGCTGCCATGTCAGTAGAGCAGTGAATCGGCTCAGGATTTCAGTTTGTATTTTAATCCACTCAGGGATTTAGTTCAAGCTGTTGAAGGATGTTGACCACTTGTCTCCAAAATAGATTTGGCACATTGGTTAGCTCCTTTTAAAGTCCATACTACAAGCTAGCCTACTGACATTGGAACCACCAGTTGTCATTCCCTCCTCTTCTCACTGACAAATTAATTTAATTAACACTACACTTGCAATTCAGTGTAGCTGAGAACAAAAGGGGAGGTGTGCAACTCTAAAAGTGGAATGACAGAGAATTAATCAGGACCATCCCAAATCACAACAGTTGAATGATATGTAAGATATTTTTCATGCCACTGTGGAGGGATGTCACTTTCTGTTCACACTAACAGGAGCATTTTCACTTCTGCAAGATCATGCTCATTGCACTTTCTCCTCACTCAGATAATAGGGAATTTTCTGGTCTGCAAAAGTTTCCATTTTAACACTAGCCTTTCCTTAATTTTCTAGCTGTAATGGAAGCCATTGAAATCCCACAGTTCATCGGCCGCAGTTACCTCACGTACGATAGTCCGGATGTTCTGAAAAGGTGAATTGATGCAAGTCAAAATCTGGATATTGTTTGTAGGAATATAAGAAGGAAAACTTGCTGAGTGAATCAGTAGCTAATTTCTGAAGAGCGATAGCTCTGTTGCATGCCAACCAATGAAAGGAACATTTGAGGGGTATTAAATAAAGACATAACAACAACTCTACCAAATGGCATACAATCTTTGGATTTTTTTTAAAGTGCTGAAATTGCACGTCTTAAGGTCAATACACTTTGAAATGCTTGGCTGAGACAAATATGTTTAGAAATGCATATTTTGTGAGAGCCTGTGAATTTCAGAAGTATATTTATTTCAAGCCTTTGTACAACTTCATTGTCTTTCCCTCTTCACTGAACAGAGTATCAGGATCAAGAACAAACATATTTATGAGGTTTAAGACAACACTGACAGATGGCCTCTTGTTGTGGAGGGGAGACAGCCCTATGAGGCCCAACAGCGATTTCATCTCCCTAGGTCTTCAGGATGGTGCCTTGGTCTTCAGGTAAGCTGCTTGATTCCCTTTGGGTGCAGCTACACTGTAGAATTAATACAATTCGACACCACTTTAACCTCCATGACTCAAATCTATGAAATCATTCTAGTTGTCATTTTACAAGGTCTTTAACCTTCTCTGCCAAAGAATACTGGTTCATCACCAAACTACAAATCTTCATATTCCATAGCATTGAGACATGGCAAAATGGTGCAAAATGCATTAATTCTACAGTGATCTTGTAGATGAAATCAAGAAGAAGCTCAGGATGGAAAGTTATAGGAAGACACCTGTTCTCATTCTTTCCTGTTGAGAAATATTTAATCCATGGGTATCCAATCAGAGTTTCAGTTCCACCCCTTCAATTAAGAATGCAGTATAAATTTAGGTCAGTGGTTCCCAATCTTTGGGCCTCCAGGTGTTTTGGACTTCAACTCCCACAGTTCCTAACAACTGGGATTTCTGGGAGTTGAAGTCCAAAACACCAGGACAGTTGGCTGGGATTTCTGGGAGTTGAAGTCCAAAATACCTGGAGGCCCAAAGGTTGGGGACCACTGATTTAGGCAAATTACAGGAGCAAAAATGTAAACAGGAAAGGAGATCAAAAGAGGAAACAGGTGTACTTAGTTCTATGAAAAGTGTAGGAATGTAGGTTCTTTATTTTTGGCTACTTTGACTTGGTTTAAACCACTCACTGTTTCTGTAACATAAAATAACTTGTTCTAACTCATTCTCCACAACAAATATTTCTTCTGCTAAAAATGGAATATAAACCCAGGAGATGACAAAGACAACACAACGTCCTGTCTTCTAAGAATATTTTTTTCTTCTTGCTTCATTGGACCAGGAAGTTTCCAATTATTACTCTATTTTTATCCTAAATCATACATTTATCAGAGGGCCTTGTTCTTTCTTTTTGTTCTTCCCCGCCCCCCAGATTGAGTTATGACAGAGAAAGTGGTTGTCACTAAAGGTCACAATGCAATAAAAAGTTGCTTTCACAATATAGTCAAAGTGAGAGTGATGTCAGGCAGCTTAGCCTATGGGAAAAGATACGTTTACATCCATTGTTTAGTACTGTCACCCAACTCAGTTACAATTTCCCTCAAGTCTCTTCTCAAAATCTGACATTTTAATGAAGATATTCCACTCTTTGCTCCTATCATTCTTGGCTACTGTGAAACCCAGTCAGAAATGATGGGAGGAGTAATTTAACAACATTTGAAAGACCTGGTGTATTGACACTGACCTTTCTCTATTGCCATGCAGCCCAATGGTCCAATATGACATAGCATCCTTTCCCAGCAGAAGCTCCACCAACAAAAGAGTAGATGTTGAAAAGTTGGTTTTTGCTTTAGTCATTTCCTAATGTAACATGGTTCAGTTAAAGCTATGGGCAAATCTTTGCTTACTTATTATGTTACTCATTTTGTTCTATTCCTGTAGGAAATGAATGGAAAAAATTAAAATGTTCCTTATGCCCCATAAAATCATTGCTGTTCCCCAAATGGTAACAAATAAACATTGCTCACCACACTGAAAAGTAACAGTGTTATCCATGATTATATTTTCTTTTGCAAAAATAACATTTTTTACAATTTACTTCATTTTTATTTCACCTTCCTCATGACGTGGGAACTCAAGGTGGTTAACAATAAGTATAAAAAGGCAAATTAAAACAATAGAAAGGCATGAAAATCTAAAAATAAAAGTTTAAAAGCAATTAAAACATTTGTGTCACTAAAACGATTAAATGTTAAAATATTAAAATGCATTAAAATGTCACAGCTACCCCCAAATCCCAATTGTACCATCTCGAAGCATCATTTTATGTTTTCTCTCAGCTACAAAAGTAAGGCAACACAAATGACATTACAATACCTACAACACAATGCTGTGAAGATTTGCAAAACAGGATATGTATGTTAAAAGAGTGAACTCTTTAGTCCTGGTAGAATAACTTAGTGGTCTCTATCATTGTGCCAAATGAGGAAAGATATTATTTACCACACATCAAAGGTACAAGTAAGTGGTAAAATCCCAGTTATGAAAGGCACCGTGCCATCTTATTGTGGTTTCCTGTGGTAAATCTTGCAAAACTCTTTGCTTTCCACAAAGATGAATTGGAAATGAAGTTGAACATCGTCCTTGGAAAAAAGGTTCAGTCATGCAGGAGACATAGTTGTTTTCCATAAAATAATAAATGTCAGCTCTTAATCACAGTCAAATCAGAAACCAAATTGCTCACTTAGTCAGTGAGAACGTGTCTTCGTGTTTCTGTCTGTGGTAATATTCTAAACCAAAACACTGGTAATCTTATTTGTACTTCCAGCTAAAGGTACACTGGCAAGAAATGCATCCATCTTATGTGTGCATTCATGCCACTTATGCTTCTTCTCTATAGTAAGAAATTGCTCTCCTCCCTGGGATTTATAGCACCGAATGGAACTGCATGCATTGAATTACATACAGATGTAGGATTTTGGTCACTTTGAAGTCTTGTATGTGAGGCTGTGAACACCCTTGAGGCACCTATCTTTTTTCCATCCAGGGCTCTGGTAATCACGATGTCCACACATTTCAGGGGCATTATGAGCCTCATTAGTGTTAGCACCATTCTCTCTTCTGTTTTCTCCCATCTAGTTTTGGAAGTTAAATTGCATTTGATTTGGAATGGGACTGACTTTGAAAGTCAACTGTGAATAGCAAATGGCCATAGAGATTGCCTCAAATATCCCATGGAGAGGGAAAACAGAGAAAAATGATCAGAATGTTTTCTCCATCTGTTGTAATTCTAGAGGGTGAGGGAGGATTTGTAAACAACCACACGTTTGCTCTTTCACACCACAAACAGAAACATTCAATGCTAATCAAGCTGGCCAACTGAAACATTCACGCCTCAAGAAGACAAGTGTTCTTTATATATCCACAGATATATAAACCCCACTTGCCTAGTTTGCAACAGACCTCACAACCTCTGAGGATGCCTGCATAGATGTGGGTGAAACATCAAGAGAGAATGCTTCTGGTACATGGCCATACAGCCCAAGAAACTCACAGCAACCCAGAAACATTCTATTCTTTATACATCCTTTAAAAGAGAGGGTGGCTATTTTAGTTTTCTTGTTGTGATTTAAAGGTCAATCCTGTTTCCCTTTACCGGAAGGAAGGGGGAACTGAAAAGGATCAAAAAGCACTATCCATAGGTAATCAAGGGGGCTTCCTATTGCAAGGGATTTTGTTTTTATCTTTTATTTTTTTGTAATCATTTGGAGAAGACCCTGAGTTCAGTGAGATAAGGTCTATACCAGTTTGTGCCCAATGATCATCTATAATTTCAAAGAAAAACTTATTATTAAATAATAAAAATGACCAGGCAGGTTCTAGATAGATAGATAGATAGATAGATAGATAGATAGATAGATAGATGATAGATAGATAGATGATGGATAGATAGATCTAATGAGCATTTATGCTTTGGTTTCAGCTATAATCTGGGTAGTGGCATCGCTTACATAACAGTGAATGGCTCTTTCAATGATGGAAGGTGGCACCGAGTAAAGGCAGTTCGGTAAGTTGTTTGTGGTTATCAGGAGGTGTGTGTGTTACTTTACCAAGTCACATGAGCAACTCAGCAGAAAGAAAAAAAACTTATCATAAATTCTGAGATATATTGGAGTTGAGGGGAGTAAATGTTTTCTGAGTTTCAGGAGTGGAGATACCATATTGGTTGTGCAATTTTGTATGTGGAGTTGTAAGTGCATATGAGACAGCCATCATTTTTCCATCTAGTGCTCTGGTAGCCGCTGTTTCTTCATGTTTCAGGGGCAACATTTCAGCAATCTCATTTCCCAAGAATATAGTTGCCCTATACTGTGTCCTTTATTGGCAAAATTTATTCAGAGAACATATATCATTGGCTCCCTCTGAGATTCAGACACTCATGCAAGGATTTGAACCCTGGTCTTCCATAGTCCTCTTCTGCCCAACTCTTCTTGAATCTATTCTCTTTTAAAATAGTATATAGCCAGCCAGGGCATTGGTAGTAACTCTTAGGAAACCTGTAGGTCACGAGAAGCTTTGAATATTTTTCTTGTAGGACATCAGTAGATTCAAGTAAATTTCCAGTTATGTCCCAGATACAGTAAAGAGGAATAATACACTCCTATTGTACATTTGGGTGGCAGAGAGAAATATTTTATACTCCTTATTAGGGCTGGGCGGTTTCGTTCGTTAATTTCGTAATTCGTTATTGATTCGTATTTAAATTAGCTTACGATCCAATATTGAGCCATGCAGGGGCAACCCATAATCGAAACGATTTTTCAATTTATTTCATAATTGTTTCGTAATTGGTTCGAAATCGTTTTGAAATCGTTTTGAAATCATTTCGTTATTATTTCCGTATGTCTGGTGCAAGTTTTAGGGTTGTTGTTTGTTTTATCAGTGATAAAAAATATATTATCACACCAACAGTCAACAACAGAGGGAGAGGGAAGCTTCAGAAGTTCCCCCTGTCCCATTTGGAGGGTTTTTTAGCATATTGCGCATTCGCGTCCGCCATTAACGAATCGATTCGTAATTGTTTCGTAATTGTTTCGTAATTTACGAAATTTTGTATATTTCGAACTTTTTTAAAGAAAAATTTCGGAATTCTTTTAAAAAACAAAACGCAAAAACCCCCTAAAAACGAATCGAGTTTAGAAACAATTTTTTCCGTGGTTACCCAGCCCTACTCCTTATCCATTGTAAATACTCATATTTTCTCAAGTCTAATGCAAATCTCAATTTTCAAAAACCTGAAACCAAAAAAGGTATTTGCTGGCAAATGGAATGCGTAGCAGCAAAAAGTGTACTCTTTGTAATTTGACCAAAAAAGCTGCAAATTACAGTGACTTCATGCTTAAAATTCCTTCTTTAAAATAGAAGTGTTAGACTACTAAAGTTTCCAGCAATGCAAAAGAAAACCTTGGGGTGCATCTGTGGTGTAGAATCCACTTGAACTGCTATGAAATCATGTAGTTCTTGGACTTTCTCTGCCAAATAATGCTAGTGGCTCATCAAACTACAAATCCTAGGTTAGCATCGCATTGAGCCATGGCAATTACATTTGAAGGGCTGTTCCTCAAATAGGACCTTCTGAAGCAATTTCCATGTATTGAACTGCTTTTGCTGTTGATTTGTTGTAAAACATGTTGTTTGGGTGCTTAATTTGTCTAACCATAATGTAATGTGATGTTTAATAGGTTTTCCCTTAATCCCTCCTTATTATCCAACAATTTCATTTATTCAATGTTCTGCCAGCCCATTTATGTTGGATAAGTGAGACTCTACTGTATTTGAAATATTTCTTTTGTCAATTTAAGGGATGGCCAGTCTGGAAAGGTAACAGTGGATGATTATGGTGCTAGAACTGGCAAATCTCCAGGAATGATGAGACAATTGAACATCAATGGGGACCTATATGTGGGTAAGTGCCTGTTAAGTTCTGCTATCCATTTTCAAAACTAGAAGTGTACCCAAGTCAATAAAGGCCTGTGTAGTCTCCTGTTTTGTTCTTCTTCTCTTGCTTCCACCTCAAGAAATTTACCAAAGATATCTCAGAATATCTTCTGTTTTCCTAACATTCTGGTGGCACAGGAAACCTAGCAGCAATGCTTCATGCAGCCCTCTTTGTTTATGTGTTTGAATTTTACCCAGCAGAGTTCTTGTTTTCCTGTTTTCATTCAGCAACCATGACCTACCTCTTTCCTGTCTTTTCTTGCCTCAGGAATTAGACAGACCTCCTCTGTGTGCTATTCCTTTTATTTAAAACAATGGGGGGAATACCTCGAATGTGCACATCAGGGTGACTTTCATATGGAGAAGTCTCTTCTTTTTAGAAGAAGCACAGGAAGCTTTTCTCATGGCTTTTATGTCTTGTCCAAAACCTCCCTTTCCACAGCTGCCAATCTCTGAGAATGTCTACTGCTCCTTATTAGTGGGAAAAAATGGGGGGAAAGGTAATCCAAAGGAGGAAAAAAATGGACGGTCTTTGTTCTGACAGAAGGGGAAAGGGAGACACACTATCTAGGAGCACATTTCTTCTCCCCATGAGCCTTTACCACCTGCTTCTTCTTCCTATGAAATGTTTTCTCCTTCCATTCTCTTTCTATTTGGGAAAGAGAGCTTCACTAAGTCCTCCTTGTAATTGACAACTAACAGGGAGAGGTAAGATGGGGTGGGGAGACCCAGAACTGTGGACATGGAACATTATATTGTAGTTGTTAGATTTTGGATTTCAGCCATTAGTTTCTGATAGCTAGGAAAAGTTATGACTCCTTTTTTTATTTCTTGGAATTTCTCCCCATTTAGAATTTTGACTTGAAAACCGGTCAGTGCAACTTAAGACAACAACTAAAAAGATACTGTAAAATTTTGCAGTACTTACTATGATGTATTCGCGACTTAAGAGTCTTTCATTATATTTTATTTGCTTTTTCCATATAGAATATTGGAATCCTTCCTTCCCTCCTTCCCTCCTTCCTTCCTTCCTTCCTTCCTTCCTTCCTTCCTTCCTTCTCTTCCTTCCTTCCTTCCTTCCTTCCTTCCTTCCTTCCTTCCCTCCCTTCCTTCCTGATGAAATCTAGCAGCAGGTCATCATTCTGCTTTGAGTCCCCTTCGAGGTTGGGTTATAAATATAGTAAATAAATAAATAATCTACCTGTCTGTCTGTGTATCTGTCTGTCTATCTATGTATCTATCTATTTACAGTCTTATTCTCTCTATCTAGATATAGAATACACACACACACACATATGTGTAAATTATATATTTTTACTTTTCTCTTCTACAGGTGGAATGAAGGAAATTGCACTCCATACAAACAGACAATATATGCGAGGACTGGTGGGTTGCATTTCCCACTTCACACTTTCCACCGATTACCACATTTCACTGGTTGAAGATGCAGCTGATGGGAAGAATATTAACACTTGTGGAACAAAGTAACCAATGGAGGGGTTTTTGTGGGGAAGAGCCTTCCTTAATCATATATCAGTAACAGTACAATGACTGATCTTGCACATTGAGGACTGCCTCCCAGGAAGGCCAAAAACCAAGAACCAAAACTGGAGGGAGCGTTTCTCACACTCCTTTGCGTTGGATCCCCTGCTATCATAGTCCTACCAAGTGCTTTGGGTGGGAACCTCATACTTTCCTTTTTATCAAGGATGCAATCTAGCAAAGCCCCAATGCTGTTGCATACAGCTGGTGCATTTCCAGCCAGGTCAACTATATAAACCGGTATACATCCTTGTGAAAAGTATCAGCCAGTACCAGCTTCAGACATGTACAGCTGTTTTACAACAGCCAACTCATGCAGGTTTTTTTTTAAAGATAAGATGAAGCAATGTGGACTACTTTGTCAGCATGGACAGTACAATTCATTTCAACGACTGGTCCCAAGGCCATCAATATTTATCCATCTGGACCATCAGTATTTATCCAGTGTGTTTCCCTCACCTCCCATCAGAGCTCAGCAAAGCTACTGTCCTGGTTCTCATGTTGGCTGGGGAAATCTGAAAGCTATTGGCCAAAAGGGTAATTTTCCTAAGTTCTCCTTTCCTGTACTATTCCTTTAGTTAAGATTGTGGTCTGTTCAGAGCTACACAATGGAAAGGCAGTAGCAATACCTTCAAATTAAGTTGCATCATAGCAAGAACGATACTGCAAGTTGCTGTCACCACAGCATACATTTGTCTCCTCAGCATTCAAGGAGGGTTAGGTTTGCCACTTCTGGGCATGCAATGGACCACTCATTCTATCGTCCACTATTTTATTCCAAGGGGGCCAGTAGAGAGAAGTAGCAGATCAAAATGGCTGCTTACTGAACCACTGAACATGAAAGCATAGGAAGGATTCTTGTGCTCAAATGGGTTACTTGAGACCTTCACAATTCTCTGTAAACGAAAAATTAGCACAGAAAACAGTTTTCTGCATGACGAAGATGAAGGTAAAATTCATTTATTCAATTTCATTTTCCTCATCTTCTAATTGAGGAGGTACAGTTCATGGTTGAGATACTTCTTTGAGTTATGCAGGTGTTAAGTCCAATTTAGGTCTATATATCTCTTTTTTAGTTGCTGCAGAAGTTGGAGTCCTATACTGACTCTCAAATGAGTCAACAAACCCCATCTTTTAGCTGCTGCATATCCCTTCACACAGAGAGGTTTGTTTATAGGCTGCTGAAGAGTGAATGGGAAATAGTGATGAAGTTTCCAGCTATGTTCCTATAACTAAAGGAATAGTAAGTAGTAATGTGTAGCAGAATTAACATGATATGGTTCATGGTTTGTTTCTTTTCAACTCAAAGGAAAATATTAATCCTAGTAATGGCCCACTTCCAACAATCTGCAAGGTGTATCTTGAGAGCTGCATTTCTACATTCCATGTTCCTATTTGAGGTAGACCATGTTGAATTTCCTACAAAAATATATTACGACTCCATTCTACCCCAATGTAAAACGACTATAAATGTTAGCTCCTTTATAGTTTATGTTGTTTGCCGAAGAAAATGGTTCTTTGTATAAAAAACTACTTTTTTATTACAAGCATTGAATCTCAACCACCACATTTTATAGCAGTAATTTTGTACATGTCTATTTTTATATAGGAGCAGCTGTTATCAATTAGATAATTTTGCAAAAGAATTAGGTGTCTGACACAGATTAGCATGTTGTTTGTTCTTCCCAAAAGGGAAAAGAGTGCAAGGAAGTTTTGTATTTGCTTATTTTACAGTTTCAGTGGAAATATTTATGAAATGTAACAGGTTTTACAATGTGGTTGGATGAGTTAGACGGCTGAAAAATGTACATTCTTGAAAGTTTTCTGGTTCAAAATTATTGAAAAGATGTTAAATTGTGTTCTGCTGTGGCATCATTTTTTTTTTTAAAAAAAATAGGCAATGTTGTCTTTGATAAGAGCCAGCATGGCTTGAATGTTGAACTGGAAAATCAGGAGACCAGGGTTTGAATCCCTGCTCAGCCATTGAAACCTATTGGGTGACCCTGGGTAAGTCACACTTTCTTAGCTTCAGAGGAAGACAAGAGCAAGCCCTCTCTGAACACATCTTGCCAAGAAAACTCCATGATAGACTTAGCAAATAAGCACATAACAACAGCAGCACTTTGGAAGAAGCAGAGCATTTTGGGGACTCTGGCCCTCAGAAATCTCTGGCCACCATAGCAATTATCCATGCCGCCTGGGAGGATTCTGGGAACTGTAATAAAAAACAGCATTCCAACATTTTGTAAAGAGTGGAAGATTTTATGATGGGTAGACCTAAAAAGGAGGCCCCAAACTAAGGCCCATGGGCCAGATGCGGCCCTCCAAGGTAACTGACCCAACCCCTGTCCTAAACTTTAGACTTAGGGTTATCCTAGGTCTGAAACCTTGAAGACACATGACAACAACAATCCTAATTAACTTGACTATTTCATCAGCCCAAAGTGGGCCCAAACATCCCTTTGAAATACTGGTAAATCTGTGTATTGTACTGTTCTTTCATCGTTTTTTGGCACTAAAAATAAGATATGTGCAGTGTGGAAAGGTATTCATTTTCTTTTCAAACTACAGTCTGGCTCCTCAACAGTCTGGAGGACCGTGAACCGACAATCGGCTCAAAAAGTTTGAGGACCCGTGACCTAGATGATGTAAAGTTTGAGAACCTCTGAAAATAAAACTCAGATCCTACATCAGAGGAGGCAGTTCATAACTTTACAATGCTGTAGCTGCGTACTTGACAAAGCACATAACCTGTCAAGGGCCCTTCCAGACAGATCCAAAAATGTGGGACCTGTTGGGCTTTTACTTGAGATGTCCAAATTGACACCTCAGGTAAAAGCGAATCAATTTTGAATTAATTAGATACCCTTAGAAAGACCTAAGTCAACAGCCATGCCATTGGTTTTGCGCTATGATCTTGGAGACGTTTGTTTGGTGAATGCTCTTGCACATCTTTGTGAATATGAGCATTATGCAGTACCGCAACTCACATTTACATGATTCTAAATCAGTTTACAATGTTATAAAAACCTAACAGAATGCCCGTTATAGCATTGCAAGGGGGGGGGGGGGAGAGAATTACAGCTACAGCAAATTGAGAGTTAAACCTTGCTTTTTTACTAATTCTATATGCAGAAAATGGAATAAATAAAAGTGATTTGAAAAGAACAGCACACAAAACATTCCGAAGAGTATATATGAAAATATGTTTATTAAACTACATGACAATAGTCTTGCAAAATTCATAATACATGCATATTACAAGGAAAAGCAGTGAATTGTCATACAAATAGGTAGGGAAATGAGCTTTATATTCATGCTAAATTTAGCATACTAGCACTATATCCCTTATAGTTTTGCAGTATCTCTTCTTAAAATAGTGTTCTACCAATATCAACTGGTGTTTACCAACGAGATAATTTTACCAGGAAATACATGACCACTAAATATTTCATTTTTCTCATAGTGATGTTTCTAAAGCATACTGGTTTTAGTCCACAGTCCCTGATGGGTTTCACAGAAAACCAGGGCATCTCACAACTGCAAAATGCTTACTGGCACTGGGGTGCAGTATTTCTAGGAAGCACTAAGTGAAGCTCATACTCATGTTTCTAATCTTGCAATAAATCACTTAACCTGGAATTGCTGTGTGGGCATGCCCTCCTTTTCTCAAAATAGAATACAGCAATAAGTGACTCAACTTCAAGGGCACAGTATGAGATTGATAACAGTCTCAAAAAGTCTTCCCCGAGACATATAAATGCACAGTAGAATAAGGAGTACATTCAGTTACATCACATACGTTTGCTTAAGAGACAAAATGATAGATAACCTGAGCCATTTTGGCATTGAATTGCCAATTTCAGCAGCCTACTTACACAGGAAAAAAGCAAAGCTAGATGAAGTCAAATAGCTTGAAGAGAGTGGAATAAAAAAAAAAACCACATAGGCAACTTTGCGTCTTCCAGTCAGTTTAGTATGACACTGCTTGCTTAATATTTTAAAAATCACTGAGTGTAATATCACATCCATTATGTGTTATGTATTTAATACGCTATTTACACAGTTTAAAAAAATCAAAATTTACTGAACTATAAAATGCAGCATCTATTATACAAGTAACATGTCATTAATGGTAATTCTCCTCCGATCCCATTTCTGTTCCCATCAGAACTCAAATCCATTTATCCTGGCTTCCTTTGAGTTTCTGCTTAATCTCACTGCAGGAGATTTCACATTCTCAAGGGAGGCCTCACAACCCCATAGGTAAAGTGGCAATAAACACGCAAGCATCTCCTTACTCAACTACTCTCAAAGCATGCCAGTGCTAAACTGAAATTAGTGCCAATCAATGATCTACAAGTATCGTACTCATTCTATAAGCACACCACAGACAGATCTGCTGAGGAACCACCAATGAGCCTTGGAGAGGATCTTGTGACCTCCTTGCATGGCTCTATGTGCATGCAGAGCACAATATTGTTTAGCATTACTCCATGTGGACTGAACACATGCCCTCAAATAGGCACAAAATTCTTCAGCACATTTCTAAGGAATATCAACATTGTATTTTCAGAGAAGCTCACAGCTAATATTTTGACCTCAAATGGGTTCCCTTCACAAGGGTCTCCCCTCCCCAACCTCTAAATTGGGATGTTCCTATGCCCTGTGGCTCAGCTACTCCAAACCAGCAAAGGTGGAAACTTAAGAGAGCACATGGCACTCAATGTAATTGAAATCTATGGACACATCATACTTCAGGCAGCAGCCCATGATATTCCACAGCTTGGAGCCCTAGCAAGATGTTTTTAAGGTAAGCCTTGAGAAGTCAACACCACAAGCCCAAATGAGATGAACAGATGTTGGCGGACAAAGTACCTTCAGGTAAATCAAATCTTACCATGAAGCCTATACTGAACTGTGATAAGCCACCACTTGGCTGGTTCCCCTGTTCATCTTCAATTCTGTGGAAGAAAACCTTCATATAGATGAGTTGCAAAGTCTTTTGGTGTGACTGTATAGGCAGCTCAGTTATCTTTTGTTTAGCACTTCGGTGACAATCCTGAAACATAGGAGACATTCTGTAGAAAGTGAGACAAACTCCCATACAACCAGTGAAAATCTAGTTGTCTGTCATGGAAAATAATGGCTTCTACTGGTCATTGGTCACAAAGCTCCAGCAAACTGAAGATTTCATGAATGATTACACCCAGCATCAAAAGCATCTTTCTGAGACCTTGGGGGTTACTTTGATGATGTTAAAAGGCAATAGTGGGAATGCAATCAGAAATCTAATGCACATTGGTGTAGTTCCTGCTACTTAAAGTACTATGAATAGCCTAACGTTTGATGGACGAATCCATGCACCCATTGCTCACCACTGAACAAATTCACTTTCAAGCAGAACCAACAAATTATGCCAAATTATGCAAAAGAAAGAAAGGTATCAATGAGACTGAAACACACTGCTTTGTTTCCAAAATTATAGCTTACTACAGCTGATACGTCAAATCTGTGAGGTATATCATATGCAAGTTACTAAAAATGTACATCCTAAACAATTAAAAAATGCCACTTCGAAAACAGTCACAACCTCAAACTGAATTCACAGCTTTCCTTCCCTGTCAGTCAAAACAAATTTAAAAACCCAAATGGATTAACAGAAAAGTATAATGAATGAAACACCATGGTGCTCATCAAACTATTTTTAAAACAATTTATATTTTTTTAAAAACACACAAACATTTTATAACACCCAATAAAGACAATCGGCACTAAGATGATGGCGTATTTTAAGTTGAAAATGTTACCAAAAGGAGCAGCAGACATAATTTCACCCATCTTCTGCAAAAAGGTATAACAGACTCTCAAGCTTCCTTTTTGAAATGAAATTTTCGGCTTTGCTCTAGAAAGAAAAGTCAAGCTCCTCAGGTCAGTTCTTTGGGTTAGAACGAAGTCTGTTTTTTGTTTTTCACGACCCAGCACACACATGGGAAATTAAAGAAACAAGACCTCTTGTGAAGCACAGGCCAAGGTAACAGAATTTTGACCAATGCTTATAAAGTTAAGTAGCACCACAAAAAGATGAAAAACATGGCATGGAAGACTGAAATTCCCTCTATTTTCACTCCTGCTTAAGATATTTGTTATCACAGCTCAAAAGCATGGAAGATAAACTTGTTAGCTTCTGCAGGGACACAGGGACTATGGCTTCAACTGAATGAAATCAGTTGGTTTAAGGCAGGAGTACATTTTCTAATCTACGGTTGTTTCAGGACACCCCCAACTCCCATTGTATCTCTCAATTTCTGTGACTAGTTTCAAAACCAAAATAAAAACTCCTGGAATTTAAAAACAACAACCTAGTATTTGAAAATAAAATCTTTATCTCCTGTGTGTATATATGAATGTAGGATGTGTGTGCATGTGTGTGTATCACAAATATTTAGATTTTTATTTATTTATCGTGTCAGACCAAACAGTTGCATTGCATTTTTTAACAAACAAACAAACATTTAGATGAACTAGATTAGCATGTAATGGCCCGGAAAGATAAACAAGAAAAATCAATATCTCTTCGGGGAAACAAGCAATCTTCTCTACCTAGAAATCAACTTTAGACGAAAAGCCTCCATGTGTTAAGCCAGGCTCTTGATGCATTATGTCAGTATAACATCTGGATTACTTCCAACATTAAGAGTAACTTCACAAAACAAAGAGCATCCTCCTAACAGATTTCTGTATGTTTGATGTCATAGCCAAAGCTACAGCATGTAACAACTTAATAGCAAATATTATGGAAGAGTCCACTCTATTAAAAGGCACTCAGAAAATGAGACCACTGTCTGAATAGCATTAACTGGAACTAGAAACTTTTGGCTAGCACCACATTATCTTAACATAACCATCCAAACATCATAAAAGTAAATTTGGTTAGAATAGATGGATTCTCTTTGAAAGCAGATGGGCAGGAAAGAACTGCTCCATGCTTTGTAAGAATTCCAGAACAGCCGAGCTAACATGTAGATAAAAGTAAACGCAGAACCAGTGTAGTGGTCCCTTAATTTGATTTCGAAAATACTTGCTACATACACTATAGCCAAGTGCAAATGAGGAAAACTGAAAGTTTTGAGCTTCAAATGTTCACATATAAAAAATGATCAACTTCATAAGCAATATAATTGCCAGTTTCTACTAGCAAGAAATGTAGTAGTGTTCAACTAAGATCTGCTTTAGTGTTGTTTTAAGACTACAGTTGGTGTAATTCTGTTTCCAAGCCCTTTATTGGAATCATTCGGTAACAGCTTTAAAAGGAAACCTTTCAATCTGCACTTGTTATTTGTGCAAATATCTGAAATGAAATCCAGAGTCAGTTGCAGCTTCATTTACAGTAATCGCATGTGAAAAGAATTCATGGCTGGCCATTGCTCAGAAATAATGCTTTCCCATGGAATCTATTAGCTGAAACACTCCCAAATTTGTCCTGTTTGCTTTGAAGAGTGCTCGCAGGAAAGCTTCTCTGGAAGACTCTTGCTAAGCATGTCCGTTTTAGAGTTTTTGTGGAAAGTGATAAAGATAGGAAGATGCTATTTTCCTGGGATACGGTATATCACAAAGGCCTACTGCCTCTGAAAGTAGTGCATGAGTTGCAATTGGTGTCTCTAACATTTCAGGCTAAAGGTCACCCAAGGGTGAGGAAAACAGAAATCCTTCCACAGAAAAGTCACACTCTGTGGGGAAAGCTTCTGGACTACTTGAGGTCAAGAGAAAGTAGTCCTTTATTGGGTTTCTTTTTGTAAAAAAAAGAAATAGTGGGAAAGAAAACCTTGCAAGTAAAAAAGACTTGCTCCTAAATAAGGTTTTGAAATCAGTGTTATACTTGTTTTTGCACCCCTGAGTCAATACTATTGCATATACATTTATACAGTAGGTACAGAAACCAGGATCCAGGCTTCTCAAACTAACTTCAGAGAGAGTCATAGCTGATGCTACGACTGTCAGCAAATTATCTAAGGTGGAGTTCTTCCATTTACGTTGATTCAAATTAACATTCCATGGAAATCAAATGGAAACAACCACCTTAAGCGAGGAGTCTGAGAGCTAGTGCCCATTGTTTGTGTTTTGGAATTCATGTGTTTGGATATTGTAATGTATAGGTACTGTTGTGTTTGCGCTCCTAGAACCTAAACTTTTAGGAAAAAACATCTTTGATTAGGCATGCCCCAGGGCAGGGCAAATCTATATACATCCACACTTCTATAATGTAACAACTCACATGGCTGGGTTTAGAGCAAGAGGCAAGGCTGACCATGTCTCCCTACCACTTTCAAAATGGGAGAGCATCAAATCAGTCAATTAAATAGAGCCCTGGTGCCCTATTGACAATGGAGGGAAAGCAGCCTGTTCAAATGTAGACACAGATCTCCTGTTGCTCTTTGGCTTCAGATTGAGTTAATCCAAGATACCTTCTTCAAACCGAAGTGCCAGGAATTAACTCCTCAGCCATTCATAAAAAATAAAAGAAGGTTAATGTTCAATTTTGCAAAAATGAAATGACCAACCCTCAAGGGCATCACATCGCAGGGATGTTGAAAACAGGTCCCAGCAAATGGCTGCTTTTGAGACAACCACTTCTGTCCTAGTGTTAGTCATTCGGCTTGTTGTGAAAGAAGTTAGAGAAGGACCACCCAGTGTTAATGACTTCTGGCGAGTCTTCATCTTTGGGTGGGATCAAAAACTGTCGAGAATTAATGGAACACGGGCTGCCAAATGAGACATTTTCATTGTTGCTTTCATCAGAAGCAGGAGAGTCTGGGCAGTCTGTGTTCCAGGAAGGTGCATTCACTTGAGGTCTATAGCCTGCAGCCTTCTCCAGATCCTCTTCTGCAGATGAGGTTTCCTCTGTGTTTCTTGGCAGCTGCATTTGGGGCTTATAACCTGCTGAGGCCACACAGTCAATTTCTAAATCTTCCTTCATTTTATCTGGAGCTGGATACATTGTCTGTATGTCTATATAAACAACCTGCGAAGATCCCATGGATCCATCTATGGGCGGATTAGAGAGCTCCTCCTCGATGATGGATGGGCAATAGGAGACGACAATGTGACTCTCTGATTCAGAATCAAAGCCATCTTCAGGAAGTTCCTCTGTTACAGGTGATTTAATGACTGCCTCCTCAATCTTCAGGCATGATGACTGGGTTTCAACCACTTCGATATTATTAGGGGTACATGGATTCATCTCCAAGGTTTTAGAATTTGGGTTCCCCTGCAATCAAAGAAGAAAGTAAGATAACGGAGCTCAATATTTTCAAGTTTTATCAAAAATGTTCATGTTAAGGAGAAATATCACAGAAGCATTTTAAAGCTTGCTTTTCTTTTTTTAATGAATTATCTTTTACATAAGTCTTTCATTTTGCCATAAAAGATTTGAAGAATGTTCCAAATTAAGATGCTGACTCTAGTTTCTCACCAAACCGACTGCTGCAAATTTCACACCTTCAGCAATACGAGTTGGAGAGTGTAACAACTAGCATTTCCTTTCATCAAATATGTTGCCTTTGAAGACTGTTTGGAAGCTTCAAGTAGTCCAACGGGTGGCAGCCAGGCCACTCACCGGAGTGGTGTACAGAGAGAGGACATCCCTCCTATTGCGTCAGCTCCACTGGTTGCCAGTCTACTACTGAGCACAATTCAAAGTGCTGGCTTTAGCCTAAAAAGCCCTAAACGGTTCTGGCCCAGTTTACCTGTCAGACTGTATCTTCCTCTATAAGCCAGCAAGGAGATTAAGATCTACTGGTGAGGCCCTGCTCTCAATCCCACCTCCTTCACAGGTGTGGTTGGCAGGAACGAGAGACAGGGCCTTCTCAGTAGTGGCCCTTTGGCTATGGAACTCCCTCCCGAGTGAAATTAGATCAGCCCCCTCCCTCCTGACCTTTAGGAAAAGGATAAATATGTGGATGTTCAACCAAGCATTCAATGAGTAATTTATCACTGCAATAAAGAAACGATGAAATAGTGCAACGACAAATTGGAACGACTAAGGACTACAATATTGGATTGCATTATTTTAAATAATTACTTTTAAGGTTTTATATGTTTTAATGATTGTTTTAATGCTTATGTTTCTATTATGCGTGTTTTTGGCATTTAATTGTTGCCTATATATGTAAGCTCTCTTGAGTCCCCTACGGGGTTGAGAAGAGTGGGGTATCAATACAGTAAATAAATAATAAATAAATTGACAGAAAAAAATGAAATGGGAAACAATGGAAAGAGGTGCAAACATTCTCAAAATGTGTTGGGATGTGTTCTTTCATCAAAGATGATAAAAACAGCAAAAATTATTTGCACCTCTACAAAGCTTTGTGCTTGTTGGTTCATTAGTTGAGACATCAAACCGAAATACAACAATTCAGGTAAAAGTATCGATATCTTCTGGAAGTGCTAAGTGCTAAATCTAAAACAAAATAAGCCTCAAAAGGAAAGGTGGGCAACTGGTCCAGATGATTAATTTTTTACTTCTGCATGTCTCTGAATCAGTCTCATATATTCCAAGCAATTTGGAAGTGACTTAAAATCGATTTGGTTTGCCCTTTACTGTATTTTCAGCAACTTTCAACATTTCTTGCAATTTGGAGATCACAAATGTGTCATAAGCCTAAGCAATTTTGTTTTGGCGATGTTTCGCCACACTGTAGTAATTTTTCAGACCTTCCCCCACAAGTACTTGTGTTCTAAGAAAGTGCCAAAAGAGTTTGGAGAATGGTGAAATTGATCAGTCACATTTAGTTTCCCAACCCTGCTGAATGAGGAAAATGTGTATTATTCTTTCAATCCCTTTAATTAAAGTAACTGTATCTCTCAAATATTTTCAGTTAAGCTATCAACAAAAAAGTTAACATTGTAGGAAATTATTTCCCAGTACAACACACATTTAAATATTGTACTTGTGACTAATAGGATAGTTGAATTATGCACCAGCTAAATACTACTACTACTATTGTTTATTTATACCCTGCTTTTATCTCCACAAGAAGATGCATCTTTAAAAGCAGTCTCATGAAGAATGCATTACATAAGTCTTCAATCAATGGGGCCAGGTTGTACATTATACATTAAACATCAGTGATGTATATGTGTCCCAGAAATTAAAGGTAAAGGTTTCGCCTGACATTAAGTCCAGTCATGTCTGACTCTGGGGGGTGGTGCTCATCTCCAGTTCTAAGCTGAAGAGCCAGCATTGTCCATAGACACCTCTAAGGTATGACTGCATGGAGCGTCGTTATCTTCCCATGGAAGTGGTACCTACTGATCTGCTCACATTTGAATGTTTTGAACTGCTAGGTTGGCAGAAGCTGGGGCTAACAGAAGCTCACCCCGCTCCCTGGATTTAAACTGTCACTCTTTCGGTCAGCAAGTTAAGCAGCTCAGTGGTTTAACCCGCTTCGCCACCCAGAAAATACATATATATCCAAAACGGATCCTTGACTTACAAAGGTTAAAATTTAACCTGAATCCCAGAATAAAGAGCAGAAAGGGGATATGAATCTGGCAAAGAAAAATGATAAAATCTGAAACTAGTTTTGAAAGATTTTAAAAAAACCATTTTTTCCAGCAATGGAAGGAGGATCCGTTTTTTGCAACTCCCTGGAACCAGAGATACTACCTCTTTACTTGTTCCATCTAAAAACTGAGTATTCCTCCATCCCCTTCTTACCCACATTCTCTCAGGTCATCTTTTAAAACGCATCACTTCCACTAACAATTTCATGTTAATTGAATTGCTTTCACTCAGAAGGGAAATAGATAAGCTCACTTCCTGCCCCCTTTCCAGTAACACCTTTCAAATACCTACTAATGAGAGTGCAGAATGGCAAAATGCAAATGATTACCTCAGAATCCTTTGGGAAATCCAAAGCTTTACAGTTCTCAGGATTTGGAATGTCAGGATAGAAGGTTTCTTTAATCCTTTGAAAACAGAAACACCAACATTAAAATTATCTTTAGGAGTTGCCACCAAGCAGTAGCATAGTATTCTATCTAAGTTAGATCCATTTTTTATTTTTCTGCCATGGAAGCAAACATGAATGCTGGAGGCAGTTCTACGAATAGAGTAGGCCAGTTCATTATGATCTCTGAATATCTAGAAATGTCTAGAGATGTTTCTATGTCTCCAGTATGATCCTATGCTTAATTTCTGTTGGAAGTTCTGCTGGAAGTTGACCACAGAATCACTCTGGAGTACACTTCTCAAGGCATATGCTAGGTCGACCAGAAAGTAATATTGGGAAATGTGTCATACACATTTATGGCCTTTGGGTGGCACAAAAGACAAAGACAGGGTATTCTACTTATTCATATGCCTATGAATAATTTATATGATGAGATCAAAGGTCTCAGACGTAGTTTAAAAAAACCCTCTTTGCTATTGTTCTTCCGCCTATTTATCTTCTTATTAATGCTTATGCTCCACCTTTCTTCCAATGAATGCAAGGGCTGCACCTGGCTCTTCTCTCACTTTATTCTCACAGCAATCTTGTAAAGTAGGTCAGACAAAAGGACTGTGACTGGCACAAGGTCACACCGTGAGTTTTATGGCTTAGTAGAGATTTGAATCTGAATCCCAATGTAATATTCTTTTTTGCATGTCAGAAGCAACTTGAGAAACTGCAAGTCGCTTCTGGTGTGAGAGAATTGGCTGTCTGCAAAGACTTTGCCCAGGTGACAAATGTTTTACTATTCTTGTGGGAGGCTTCTCTCATGTCTACACATGGAGAGCTGGAGCTGACAGAGGGAGCTCATCCACGCTCTCTCCAAATTTGAACCTCCAACTTGTCGGTCTTCAGTTCTGCTAGCATAAGGGTTTATTTAACACCACTGGGGATGTTAAATAGAGCTCTGATTGATGTTTTACCATTATGTGGGAGGCTTCTCTCATGTCTCCGCATGAGAAGCTAGAACTCTACAGATGGAAGCTTACTCTGCTCCCTGGGTTTGAACCACCAACCTGTCAGTCGACCTGTCCTGCTGGCACAAGGGTTTAACCCATTGTGCCACTGGGAGCTCCTACTGTAATATCCTAACAATTACAGATATGGTGATATGCCTGATTAGTGGATGACTCTCCCCTTCATCATTCACTGACATAGCGATTTTTAAAACCCTGTATTTTTTTGTAGTAGATCCAGGACAATCCTGTTTCAAAAATACACTTCTGTAGGAAAAAAAATGGCCGTTACTTTCTTCTAATGTGGAAATGTTTCCTTCCCATACTCCCATATTCATTGGCAATGCTACACTTCCACTGTTGAATTTAAAGCACATGAGGATGAGAAGAAGTCTCAGAGCATGGCAAATTTCAGGAAGGAGGACTTGGCTCCCAAACCTGATGAAGATACAGACTTCAACACTACATCACAGCATCAATCGTGTTGTGTACAGCACAAGAGGAGTCTTGTTGTTCATCCCTGTCTATCAGGGTTTAGCAAACAAAGCTTGTTAAATGTAAATAGTTACCATTCTCTCTTCCGGTAGCAAAGGATGATGGTCACCACCGCCAAGACAACAACGACTGCCATAGGGATAAGGATGGCAATAATTAATCCCGTCGCTGAAAAAGTTAGCAGACAAAGATTCATAAGACTACAATGATTCAATTAGCCATTAAAAATTGTTAGTTGTTCAAGATTTCCCACGGTGGTTAAGCCAATGGCTGATCCCAATTACACAGTTTATTGGAAATGGTCACCAGACAACTGCAGATTTCCCTCTGAATGGCTACCTACTAAAATAAGTATATACACTTTATTGCATTGTTGTGAATATTTTTCTGTGAATTCTTCAGTGATAGCAAGTTCTAGAACTTAAATGATCCAAGGGTAGGTATCCTGCAGCCTTCCTTGCGAATGGCAATGATAGTAATGACTGCTAGGATTTGCATCTGGAGATCCATCCTGGACCTAAATGCACATACATTAAGGACATCTGAAGAAGAACTCTGATACACTAGAAAAGCATGAAATGGATCTGGAAAACTTAAAACATCACTGATATTTTATATCTCACCTCTGATCACTCCACCTTGGTGTCAAATGGTAAAGCATTACAAGAATGCAAGACAAAAATATACAGAGAACTCTTCGCCTACACTGAAGACATGAAATGGATCTGGAAAACTTAAAACATCACTGATATTTTATATCTCACCTCTGATCACTCCACCTTGGTGTCAAATGGTAAAGCATTACAAGAATGCAAGACAAAAATATACAGAGAACTCTTCGCCTACACTGAAGACATCTGAATGCTATGACATACAGGCAAAATGTTAGGAGAAGATGCTGCTGGAACATGGCTACATAGCCCAAAAACTCACAGCAACCTTGCCATGACATTATTTTAAGGAGTGAGAAGAAAAAAGATGGGGAGGAAAAAGAAGATAGGAAAGGGAAATGATGGGGAATGCAGGAGTAGGAAACCATGACACGAGATGAACACTTTTTACACATCATGAATATCTTGATATCAACATCTTTAAACAACCATATATGTATAGAGGACCATCAACAACTAGAAAGTATGAACAATGGCTCTTTGGGACATGAGTCTCTCCCTTTCTGCTCTCTGGTTGTTTTCCTCACTGATGGTATTTAATTGTTAGGTCTTAAGACAAAAACTCATCCCTTTGTTTAGGAAGTTTTGGAAACAGCTATCTATATAAATGGTCCTAAACAAGCATAATTTTTATCTAGGGATTTGTTACTCAAGCTGTCAGAGAGATTTGTTTCACATTGTATTATTAATCCACTTGATTTCGTATGTTGAAGCAATCCCCAGTTCCGAATAAAATTGCCTTTCAACTTACCATTTTCCTTGGTGACCACAAACAACCTTGTTGCAGGACCAGTTCCTCCAGCAGTGTAGCCACTTAAGCTCAGGTGGTAGCCAGTTTTTCCTTGGAGATTTGAAATTTTAAATGTTTCTTGTTTCAGGTCTGTAATGTTAATGAATTGGTAGCCTAGTAAAATAAAAAGGCAAATAAGGATTAAACAACAAGAATTCTTGATTAAAAAAATTAATAAAAATGCAAGGATTTATTTGGGCATGTTAAAATCAGCTATATTTTCAAGCTAATGTCATCATATCTAACATGGGATTGCAAGATCTTTGATGGTCAGAATCTTACAATTTAGATACCTGCATTTAATCTGACCCTACTTTGGAAGCCTCTTGGAATCAAAAAATTAGTTGCATTGCTCCCCTGATTCGGTGTTGCTAAATAATCTTGCTTTTAAAAAACACAACCTGATAAATGAAAAACTCACATACTACACATTCACCATCTGATTCCCTTTCCCAACTTTAATAAGAATGACCATATGAATATGGGAAAACGATACTTCAAAGGCCACCTTAATGGCACACATAGCTGGACATAGATAATATTGTGAGCATTTTATGCATATTTGAGCCCATCATTATAGTTCCACACAAATCTAATTGTGTAAGAGGGTGCTCAAATGAGACCACAAAGTTATTTCTGGTAAAGTGTGTGAGAGGGAGAGAGGGAGGGAGTTCATCTTCTCTCCTTCCAAGTTCTGTTGTGCTCCCACCAAGTCTCACAATACCTTACTCTATTTCTATCTCCTGACCAGACAATTATCTCTTCTTTCTATATTACCACTCAACTCCTCTAGCTGTAGGCTGTGCAAAATAAATCCTTTCCACTGGCATGTTTCTTCCCACAAACATCTGCAAGCCAATGAGCTGAGAAGTCCAATCTGTGGTTCCCACTGGTCTCAGAGGCTCCCATTCACCATGTGTGTCACCAATTTTCTTGGTAAGACTGGTGACATCATCACATTACCTAAATTCCCTATTATAGGACACTTCCTCCAAACGGCCAGCATGGAGCTCACCAGATCTCATTCCATGTCATACAACTACTTCTGGCAGGGCTCTGTGCCAGCTGTGTGGGGGAAGTGTGGTAGGAGGGAGAAACCTGAACACATGTTCAGGTTAGGAATCATGATTACAATATGGACACACACTGTAAAGATACACTTTCTGGCATGTGATGTGCAAGTGGGTGGTGTCAGGCACCAGGCGCCAGATTCGCTCTGCTGTCCCATGATTTGCCCCACTGCCCTATGCAATCTTCTGCATCAATGACCTCAGTGTAATGAAGGGGTTTGCACCTTTGCCTTCCCTAAGGCTGAGAGACTGTGACTTGCACAAAGATGCCCAGTGAGTTTTCATGGCTGAACATGCATTCAAACTCTGATTTGTAGAGTTCTAGTCTAACACTAAAACACTACATCATGATGGCTCTTCAACTCATTTGATGAAAACAGGTTTTGTTTTCAATTTACCTGTCCAAACACATTTCTCTCTATGAACCATCATGGAGATTAAGATCCTCTGGGGAGGCCCTGCTCTCCATCCCGCCACTGTCACAGGTGCAATTGGAGGGGAGAGACAGGGCCTTCTCAGTGATTGCCCCTCAGCTATGGAACTCCCTTCCTGTCGAAATTAGATCAGCCCCTTCCCTCCTGTCCTTCAGAAGGATGATAAAAACTTGGCTGTGGGACCAAGCTTTTGGGACAGTGCAATAAGGCAGCAATAGGAAACCTTATCATACCAACTAGATTCAATGCGGGTGATCAAGACGGTTTTATACAGTTGATTTTAATATTGAGTTAAATGATTTTAATGGTTATGTATGTCTTTAACTTATTTATGTCCCGGTATTGATTGTTTGCCATTTGGACGTTGTGCTCCACCTGAGTCCCCTTCGGGGTGAGAAGGGAAGAATATAAATGTTTTAAATAAATAAATAAATAAATAAATACTTTTTCCTGGTTAGTATGAACAAGTGAATGTAAGCATCCTTGTTGATTAGAATATAAAGGGGCTTGTGTATGTGCCAGAAGCAGTATTCAGTATTCAAGTTCAAGTTCACAGTGATTACTTGTAAAACAAGTATAAAGGAATGTGCCCTCCATACCCATGAGAAATATGAGAGTGTTTGCTGGCACATGAATTGGCCAAAGAGCTGTTCTATGTTCATTGCTGTTCTATGCCTTAAGCCTGACTGCTTCAGATCAATCATTCAGCAGGCACAACAGCTCATCTGTTTGTTTGTTTTTAAAAATATTACTTTCCATTATTTTTTAGATGGGCTTGAAACTCCAGGGACTTGAAAATGTATTTTATGAATATGGGATAAAACTTTTTAAAAATAATATGAAAACTACTCTGTCAGTGAACTGGGATATGTTATTTATTAGGCCAATAATGTAACATTGTTCTCATTTATATTATATTTGAATGTAATCTTGTTACAACGTTATCCAAAAAGTGTAACTTATTAGAAGTAACTATGTTGCAGCATTTTAGTTCCTAGCTCAGGGCCTGGCTAATCTTTGTTGTTTCCCCCGAAGAATATGCCCTCTTTTCTACCTTTATCATCATCATTGGATCATCCTCGAGTGCACAAACCAGGTCTGTTCATGCAAAAGCCAGGTTCATCAGAATTCCAAAATATTATGTTATCATTATTTGGTTCTCATGGCTATGCCACCAACTTTTCAGCCAAGAAAAGTTCACATATTATTTCTTCACCTATGTCATTTTTCATGACCTTCAAATACCATGTTGTATATAGTTTGTTTTGTAAACTTTTGGGCTACAAGATTAGGGCCAAAGTATGGATACAGGGACTGAGAAACACTCCCCTTCAACAAAAATCTAATGAAGCCCTGAATAGCTGTGGAAACTCTGAATAGCGAACTTATCTGTAACTTTGATGACATCCTTCAAGTATAACTTGAAACTTCCCTGTTTGAAGATTTTGAACCTGTGGATTTCCTGATCCTGAAAATGATGTCGAGAAGCCACCCCAGTTTGTAGCAGATCATAGCCTTCCATCTTGGAAGCTTAGCTGCATCTCTTCAACTATCTACTGATAGGATACCACAGAATTGCACTGGAGGATCTAGAAAGGTTCACAGGAAAATATTTTTGGAGCATGGGTATTAACTCTGTGGATAAGGGGCACTGCAATTGAAGGTAGATGTTGACAAGTTGGAATGTGTCCAGAGGAGAGTGACTAAAATGATCAAGGGACTGGAGAACAAGCCCTATGAGAAGCGGCTTAAAGAGATGGGCATGTTTAGCCTGAAGAAAAGAAGGCCAAGAGGAGACATGATGGCCATGTATAAATATGTGAGGGAAAGTTATAGGGAGCAAGCTTGTTTTCTGCTGCTCTAGAGACTAGGACGCGGAATAACGGCTTCAAACTACAGGAAAGAGGATTCCACTTGAACATTAGGAAGAACTTCCTGATTGTGAGAGCTGTTCACTAGTGGAACTCTCTGTCCTAGTGTGTGGCGGAGGCTGTTTCTTTGGAGGCTTTTAAGCAGAGGCTGGATGGCCATCTGTTGGGAGTGCTTTGAATGCGATTTTCCTGCTTCTTGGCAGGGGATTGGACTGGATGGCCCACAAGGTCTCTTCCAACTCTAGGATTCTATGATTCTAAGGAAATTGTACTGTATTATTTCTCCGAGAGAGATAAAAGTTGCTATCGTGTCAGGGGTAAGGAGCCTGTGGCTCAGGTCCATTTTTGTGGTCCCCATTTAAATAGAAAAAACATATTATCAAAGGCCTGTTAGAGATACATTGACACCTCCCTGGGCGATTTTAGGTCCGAAAAAAACCCTTTTCCTAACAGGAAACTACGAAAGTGGGTCAAAAAGTTTTGCCTCCTGTGTCATAAAAACATTGTAAATGAACATATAGCAGCAGAACCCAGGCATCAAAACCATTTCACAAAAATTTAGGATTTTGCTTTGTGACCCATGATTTTAAAGCTGTTTTAATGCCCTGATTTGGCCTCTTCTGACTTTTACTTGTTTGGACTTCTGAAAGACAACCTATGTCGTTTCAGATTCAATGACTTGAATTACATTAAAACAGCTTTAAAATCATGGGTCATGAAGCAAAATCCTATTTTTTTCCAAAATGGTTTTGATGACTAGTTTAAATGTTGGTACAAATGTGTACAAATCGATTGTGACTATGTTGAACAATAGTTTATTTACATAGAGGACAGTTCAGGCTACAATCTGTAGCAACTTCTGCTGTTATATGTTCATTTATAAAGTTATTATGATGCAGATGGCAAAATTTTTTGACCCACCTGTGTATAAACCCCAGCAGTTTCCCACCCCAGTATGAAGTGTTTGTTGATTTGAGACTTTTAATCCCACAATTGAAGATAATAACCTTTCCTAAAATATATAATTGTCTCAGAGGCTTGTTTCAGGGTTCGATTCAGTGTAGTGTAGTCACCTTCTTTGGAGGTTTTTAAACTGAGGCTGGATGGCTGTCTGTCGGATGTTTTGATTGTATATTTGTGCATGGCAGAGGACTGGGCTGGATGGCCCTTCCAATTCTATCATTGTCGAAAAACAATGTTCTTTGTGGTTATAAGTTGATGTCTTGAGAAAATAGACCGTCGGTTTTGTATATTAAAATGATGGCCCAAATCTTGCATTTGATATACAATGTCACAGCTATGCCTCATTTCCTGATCCAGCCTCTGACATCCACCTTAAAACTGAGGCATCAATACCAAGGGGTTGGAGTTCTGTAATGTGCCCAATCCTCTTCCACCAGTGGCATGAGAAACAGAAGCAAGAAGCTCTGTGGAGTCCTATTGCAACTCCTTGTTATACTGAACTTCACTTGTGGAAGGCTAGACACATCAGCTTTCAGTGCTTCACTCATTAACACTGCAGAATTGCATTCCTCTGTAAGGCTGCCTGGATGTTAAAGTGAGTTTTAGGGTATTTGCAGTCATTGTCACCGTGTTATGATTGTAAATATGAATATTAAACAGTCTTGAGGTTGTAAGTCTAGGTTATGAGCAAGTTGCTAGTCAATAATTTTGTTTAGGGACAGTACTGACTTCGTAAATGCAGAATAAACATTCCATCTCCAAAAGTATAAGATGTG